AATAAGCTTAAACCATAGATATCTTATATACACTAGATAGTGCGTCTAATTATTCTGCAATTCAAAAATTGAAGCCATGATTGCAGACTCGGGATATTCCCATGAAATGAGAAGACTCGTATGTTTTCTATTTCTTATACAGGGAACTTAAACATTAAGTTAAACCTATTCCAAATACATTTTCAAACTATTCAAATGATGAAAGTTATTGTTGTTTTTTAAGTGTTTATTAGCGAGTGGGAAAATCCAACATGGACACCATCTATTCAAATGGGAGTAACGCTGGAATATTCTTGGCTTTAATTTTACTAAAAGAGATGCGCTATCTAGTGTATATAAGATATCTATGGCTTAAACACGAAAACGAGGCTGGGCTCCTAAGCCTCGTTTTCGTGTTTAAGCTTATTTCCACATTTATTGGTCAAAATCCAAATTTTTTTTATGCATGTGTTGAAGAACTATGTTCTGCTTCGCTGACCATAGCCCGTGAGAAACAAACTTGAAATCCATTCCATTTAAGATGGTCCCAAGTTGAAAACAGTGTTAGTCGTGACGTAATTACCGGAAAGGTCTATTCTGGCGGCATTTTGAATCATAGCGCTCGCGCAAGGAAGCAAAAAACTTTAAAAACCTTATGTTTTGTCATATGTGTTGAAAGATTACCACAAACTGATACAAACAAAGTTTTTAATCCTGCAGCCCCCCCCCCCCTCGACAAGCTGACGTTCGGTTGACACAAAACGTGGCTTGCTTAAACTCCTTGATGTAAAACAGAACCACAACAGCTCCACTTCACTTACAGTCGATTTCAACTTACTTTTCACTAAAATGTTGCGAACACTTCGTTCCGAACTTCGCAAATTCGTTGCCAAATTCAAATGTTCATAATGAAATTCACAAACAGGTTTGTAAACTGTGCATTTGATTGGCTGGTTTGATTTAATAGCCAATCAGAGGCTTTGTTTACAAACCTGTTTGTGAATTTCATTATGAACTATTGAACTTGGCAACGAATTTGCGAAGTTCGGAACGAAGTTCGCAATATTTTAGTGAAAAGTAAGTTGAAATTTACTGTAATTGTACGTTTGTATAATGATTATTATTAGGTCGTCTATCGGGTCCCACGAACACGTACGTTGGTCTACGACGAACCACGACCACAACCCAGACCAGTGCAAACCCGTACCCTCGTCCCAATTGAACCTCCCCCGGAACCAGTGAATGATCCAGTGTATGACGTTGGCCGTTTTGTTACAAAGGTATGCATGTTTCAATGTCTCTTCATTTTAATAGAAAGAACGCACAAGTTGTAACAAACCTGACTTGTAGTAATGCTGTTCCAATAACTTGTCAACAGGATGTGTTCGCACTGCTTGTTCTCAGCTTGTTGACAAGTTGTCAACGGCTTGTTGACAACTTGCTACAAGGTTGTTGAGCTCAACAGACTTGTTACAAGTTGTTCCAACAACTTGTTATCGTCCTGCAATTCAACAATTTGTCAACAAGTTGTGAGTGACAACCTTGTAGCAACTTGATAAAATAACAGCGTCGTTACAACTTGTCGACAAGCTTGCTACAAGCCTGTTGCGAACACATCTTGTTGACAAGTTGTGAGATTTTTACGTGTCCCTGCCGTTAATGTTGGTGTTTTTTAATAAAGTTAATTCATAGTTTATTTCTGTCACAGGTTCATCCAACACCAGACCAGCCTGGCGTAGAGAAAGATTTCATCGTCAATCCCAACTTTAGGAGAGAAGAGACGCTCTCTGAACCACTAGATCCTGAGCCCGTTCACTACGGAAGACATGAAGTAGTGCCACCCGTTCGCTATATCCAGCAGGAGCCCGCACCAGTTCGATACGTACGTCGGGAAAAGCCGGAACAGGTTCGTTACGTACGAAAACCAACGGTCGTTTATGAAAGACGTCCGCGCGTGGTCGACGAGCGTGCTTTGGTGCCGGTTACAAGAGCTCGCCCAAAGGGACACATGATAATTCACGCTGATCATCCCAGACCATCATACATCATACGAAAACCTGGTCAGCGACCTCTTGTCGCTATACGACGCCGAAGAGCTTACAGGTAAATCATTCGCTGTTGAAGTGACATTTTGTTTTTTAGGGAAAATGGAAATCGCAGAGTGGGGAATCGAACCCGTGGCCCTGCCATTCCGGTGCAGCGCTCTAACGGAATGAGCTACAGAGGCCAGTTGTCAAGCTTCAATTGCAAGTTCATGTATTGGTACTAATATATATATATATATATATATATATATATATATATATATATATATATATATATATATATATATATATATATATATATATATATATATATATATATATATATATATAGTATGTATACAGCTATTTCAATTAAGGTTGTCTACGAGCAAAGCGGAAAAGTCGAATACGGGCGTGAAAGGCTGCTGGGCATCGCTAACAAATTAATGAATTTTCAAAGCGATTCCCAGCAGCCTTTCGCGCTCGTATTCGACTTTTCCGCTTTGCTCGTGGACAACCTTAATTGAAATAGCTGTATATAGCACAATATGCAGACTGCAGACATGCATTCTACGCCTCGTCAGTGCAGCTTGGTAGCCTTGGTACACGTGTAGATATGCAAGACATATTTATACCATATATATCTCGTATTTATATCACATGAGCTTGCTCTCACCAAGGCATGTGGTACAACACGATGACATCAACGCATCCAAACATGCGCAGAGCATAATGGGGCCAGAATGCTCAAACAACCACAAGGGAAGTGAGCTTTGCATTATCGCCAATAGACACCCATTAACAAGTGCTGAACAACACCAAAGTAGAGGAGTGTAATATATGTATATTAAGGTGATCCAATGTAAGGTATATGGGTTATTTGGAGCATCTACACTTGAACTAATCGTAAAAGGTTTAGATCAATTTTTTGAAAGATTGTATAGTTGTTAGGGTGGGTCAGTTTCAGTCAATGTTGACTCGTTTCTTTAATATACCCACTTAGTACCACAGGACATGAAATTACAACCAAATTTTCTGTATTCTTATCTCTCTACAGCGACGAGGGACCTGGTCTCATGCGTGCCCGCGAGATCAGACCACAGCCAAAACGACGAGTTTACAGCAGCCGGCCTCATCCTCAACGTACGTTCACCACGGGACCAGACGCGGCCAGAGTTCCTTGGCAACGAGCTAGAGCAAACAGCGACGAGGGTCCACGACTCTACCGAGAAGGTCCATCAAGAATCTACACGGACAGAGAAATTGCAATGGCACGAGGACAGCCCCCACAAGTCCCAAGTGGAGCAGCAAAACCCAGAGTGTTTAGCGACGAGAATATTGGCACAGCCAATATGGGGAATAATCCACCGACAGCTCATATTCACCAGGCGAGAAATGAAGATTATGATAGGATCCTTGAAGCAAATCTTACCTCTGCTGATAAATGGAGTAAAAGGCCGGCTACGCCTTACTAAATGGATTGAACATTTAAATGCACTAGTTTATATCTTAGACGTATGTGGACACATTTTCCATTTTTTATTAGTTATTTACTGTTGATTTTGTTCTCATAATAGTCACAAAGACAGCTGAGTTTGCTCGGAAGGTGACTCAATACGTAAACAGTCTTGTCAAACAGTCAATGCATTTGGATAAGTCAGTGAAATGAGTATATTACAGGAACACTATCTCCAACCTGAAACTTGAAGTCAACCTTGAAGGCTAGTCCCAGTCTTTTCACGCATGCGAAGAGCGCGGTTCCATCAACATGAATTTGTATTCTTGAAAACCGGCTAGTTAAAATTTGAAAAAAAAAGCTTTTTAACGGCGCTCAAAACTTTCTATTAATGCATTTGTAGTAGACTTTACGTTTAGATTTTTTTTTCATTGAAACTGCAATGGCGAGGCATAAACGCGCGGGTCTTGACACACACGCGCGGGTCTTGACCCACACGCGCGGGTCTTGACCCACACGCGCGGGTCTCGACCCACACGCGTGTCTGGCTGAAGGTAGCGTTCCGATTGTATTCAATTCACTTGAATAAGTAAAGTATCGAGAGACGTTTATAATTAGATAGTTTGATTTACTGCGTCAAAAACATGCACCGCGTTTATTTCATTGTTTTATACCAGCAGGCAGAATGTTCATTAGTGAAAATAAAAATGTTTGCACTCGGATCTGCGCTAATGATTAAAAGCATTCTGAAATTAAAAAACGACTAGGTACGTAGCGCTTTCTCTAATAAAACTGACATGTGCGACTTGACAAAATTAATTGCTGCCAAATTTTGCACCCAAATTCATATCGACTATATCGATTGGCTATATTGATCATGTTGTTATTTTGGTTTCCACTCATCATTGAATGTATTATACTTGCAATAAACCTTACAATATATCAGACTAACTGTACTGTATTATGGATCTGATTTTAATTGGAGCAGTGTATAGTTATAGTAGTATATTTCTAAAAAGGAAATTTGGTACCATTGCAAAAGCTGGCAAAATATGGTGAAATTTTAAACTAAAACCCAAGAGAAAGTGTGTTAAAATTTGAACATAATTAATATTTCATTTTATTTTTTGTTTGCTCTATACGAGATCAGCCCGTTGCTATGATAATAACGTGAACAGCAGGTCTTAAACTGCAGGTGTCCAAACTTGTTATACTTTCCGCATAAACCGCAACTCGAAACATCGACATCGCTTAGGAGCTGAATAAATCAGTTTGTTGCCGCACAAATGCCTAGTTCGTCCCATTCGCGAGGTAAGTAATGTTATACGATATATAGTTATTGTTTCTTTTAACGATTTATCAACTTCAACCGTTAATTCGGTTGAGCTAATTATTTTGTCATCGTCCATCGAAAAGCTTCCTGTGAATTTCCCACGCTTAATATACACTCACTTCTTAAGAGCTTTTTCAGCGAGAAATTCGATGTCAAGGCTTTTGGCTTTGCTCTTTAGCAATATACCAGCAGGATTTTATTTAATTAATACATCATGCAAGTATATGGCAGTGTAATTTAACAAGTATTTTTGTCTGCTTTTAAAGAGACGTTTCTTGGCCCACACTTGCATAATTAACTTTACTCTTTAGTAAAATTATTTTATTCAGTTAGTGTTTCAAGTGCGCCCGTGTAGTCTCTTTATAACAAATACACTGTTATACAATCTTAAAATCACTCATTTTTCACTATATAATAAACAAGTTTGGTTTTACTATAGACGATAACTCTTCCATAATTAACTTTTTGTAAATATACACTTGAACAGTCTTCGAGTGTAGGTACGTCGTACCAATAATTAAGAAAGCTTCGCCTTCGGATTAACAGGGGATACAACTACCTGATAAATACAAGGAAAATGTCGACATTTCTAGCGAAAGTCCTTTGTTGCGAAGTTAGTATGAAAGTTAGTAAGTGTCTTCCCGTCACGAAGCCGAAAGGTTTTCGCTCGAAACGTCGAAGTACTCCTTGTGTTTTTCACGTAGTTGTATCTATCCCTACATCAAATCCGAAACACCTTAAAATCTTCTTTCGTCATATCTTGCATCATTTTATATATACTATATAACGGTTTATTTTATGGTCGGAAAATGATATGCCTTAGTCCTTTAATACTCTTAGTAATATTCCTACGGTGCAGGTGAGAATCTAAATTAAACAATGGGGGATCCGCGTCGCGGCCGCACTTTGTATAGAATTATAAACCGTTGTGAAATGTCGATTAGCGAGAAACGGACACATTTGGATATCACAAGGTTCTTCAACAGAGAGTTAGGCTACGTTTATATCGTTGTACCGGATAGCTTTTCCGTAGCAACGTGAAAATAAACCTATCCGTACCTTTTAGGGACGCTGTTTTCAAATGAATTATTGCAACGGAGAGATGTTGTTTCGCTCAGTTTCTGAAACTTGTACATTCCGTATCGGATAGGTTCTTTTTCGCGCCGCTACGAAAAGCTATCTGGTATAGTGTTCACGTATCCTCAGTAGCAAGATATAAACAAAACTAGCTGCATTTATATATGAAACTACAAAGACGAGTTCTACAATTTCGTACAAATTACTCTAGTGACGAAGGAGTCGAAAGGTCGAGGAATGTGTTATCTTTTCGTGTTTTTTTCTTCATATTAACAAGAGGTAGAAGCAGATAACTCGGTTTGCAGGAAAGTTCTCAGTTTTGTTATGACTATAAATAAACTGTGACTGTGTTACGAATAGTTGCCATGGTAACAGTGACGTAACAACAACAAATAGTGCATTCAATATGGCGGACATATCTTTTTCCACAACTAGAAAATCGCAGAAGTATAAACACTAAAATTGTACAAATTATATATAGGTTATGACATGGTTTCGCGCGTGATTTAGATTTCCTGATAAAGAAATATATTTTTGCTTAGGAACCAGGCTTTCTTTCCGTTTGGGTTAGCGAGGGATAGCAATGTATCCAAAAAAAATGTTGTAGTCGTTTTACCATGCGTATCGCTTTATATCCCATCAGCCAGGAAATGAACTTGACCCAAAAAGTGTATTTTTAATTCAGGAAATTAATTTAGGCACAAAAATAGCTTTGAATAGCATCCAAGGTTAAGAAAAAACAGAACAAAAATTTGAAATATGAATAAAAAAATTTTGAAAGCGTGGTTGTCAAAATATTAGGGAACTTAAGACGTGAAAAATCTAGTATTCGGATGTGATAAGACATACCCTAAATTCGCAGTGTCTGCAGCAACATGAGTAAAAAGATGGATTCTTTTTGTCAACAAAGAAGGATACAGGTGAAGAACAAATTGCCGAGTTGTAACAAATCAAAAAGAAAAGCATAAGGAGCTGTCTTTCTGTCACGTCCGCGTACTATATTTAGCTCATCTTGAATTCGCTATAATCATGCTATTAGGTAGATATCTTAAAGATCTACGACGTCAGCTAGGACGTCAGGGATAAGCACAGGACTGGGACTAGCTAAATAAAGAAACCTCAACCTAAGATTCACGATGTAGACATTTAAACTATAAATATTTACATTCTTTTGAAAATGACGTGTGAGCCATTACCGTTTGTTATGCTCTTGTCACCACGACGGTAAAACTCTTGTTGTGAGGTTGTCGATGTCTGGTGGACGACGAGCAAATTGAGAGAGACACATGCCCACTTCAAAAACTATTACCAATTTACTTCCGCTTGCCGCCCTAAATATTTGACGTCGTAGATACTTGAGCTATCGACTTATTTAGGACGACGTCCTAGTCCCAGTCCTCTGCTTAGCCCTGACGTCCTAACTGACGTCGACGTCGTAGATCTTAAGTTATCTATAAATGTCAGTCAAAGCGTATGTATGTCTAGTTATTTCTGTGCATGACATCCAGTAAGATTGGAGACGAAAAAATTGGTTTAATGATGACTAATAACGCCCACTTGGAATGTTAATTTCTTTGTCATACACGCAAACATGATAAGGCTCGAGAAGTCTTGCCAATACGGATACTTCTGTTGGGTTAAAATAAGTCATAGTTATATATATTATGGTGACTATATAGGTAAAATTAAATCTATTTCATAAATTATGAAGACACAAAGGATTTATTAACCCAATATCTTGTCCCTCTATTGTCTTGCTATTTGCATGCCTAAATATAGAAGCTTTTATGTATAACACTGCTGTGGATTCACATGCGCTACTTACGTTTCATCTCGAATGCAGCATTTTTGAATACTTCGTAAATCAGAATAGTTCGTTTTAACTGGTAAAGTATCTCAGCTAATGCTGTCATGAAAATGCGCACTGAAGTGTATCATATCGGCCTTGGATGCAATAAATTTAAAATTACACCTATTTTAAATTTACATAATCTAACGGCAAATGAAACTTCTACAAGAAAACTTATTTGTCTGTATAAGTTTTATATACAAGAACAGTGCATGTGCGCCAGTGAAGGACGTCGTGCCAATAAAAACTATCCCTATACCAACGAGACTTGTATCCCTATCAACGAAAGCTTGTATATGCAAAGAATGTTAGATTTGCGTGTTTGTTGTGAAGTCATAAAACAGCCGCGTTTTCAAAAGTTTTCAAAAGAAATCGACGGGGTGTATAGATTATTGCAATTCATATTCAACAATGCATTGAATAAAAGCAATTACAGAAGGTAATTAAGACAACATATCTACACACACACGCGCTATATAGCCAGACATTTTGACACTGGTCCACTTCAGGACGCGCTGACCTTACTGCAAAGAACAAGAAAAATTCCAAGTCAGTTATATAACAAGGTAGCTATAATCATGTATTCTGTTAGTTAAATATTGTGTTAGGAATTCTATCTGTTCGATCAGATTACGGTTTGGCAATACATTATCGATATATATTCAGAGTAGAGATAATCTTTCACGTATTGTAAAACAGCCATTTCACGTTTCAGATATAAAAGTTTAGCCTTTTCACGTTTTTAATTGATATGTTATTTCCTAACTTGAGTACTCAATATCTCTCTTAGTTCTTTACCCTATATTGGTTTTCAAAACTAAATAATTTTAACCAAGAAAATAGTCTTTAGGGTATAGAGTTTAAATAGTCGACTATATATATATATATGATCATGAAATTTTTTTTTCATAAACCTTTACTGATTTTCCAAGAATACAATATTTTTATCCGATATTTTTGAAATACCAATGAGTAAGTATATAACAAAGAAACGTATATTTTGCCATTGCGATCTTTTTTAAATATGCAATAATTTTTTTGACAAATTACCGTTTTTGGCGCTGTATTTCTAAAGCATTTTTTTCGAGCTTTTTTTTGTGCATATTATAATATATATATATATACATAACATCATAACTTTAATTTCACAGATCACCCTCCGTCGTTCAGCCCTGAGCTTTACCAAGACAGAAGAATTATGGTGAAGCGAAACATGAAGGAAAAGTCTCGTTCGGCACTATGTCTGCTGGTATTTTTTGGCTGTGCCATAATGTTCTTTGCGCTCGTTCTAATTGGCTGTTCCTTTGCAATTAATTACGATGAAGACTTTGATTTTGATAACGATCAACTCGAAGCGAAAATTCAAAGCCAGTTCAACTATAACCAGTACTGGGCTGGTGTGCCGGTAGGTAGACGCCACTTGCAACATGATTTATGAACTTAAATTTTGTCGTGGTATTTGCCGATAAATCGGTAACCACTACAGGAAAACAGAACAAATTACAGTAAATCACAACAGACTACAGATGCGGAAGTAGGACACTTTTTGCATTATGACTAAAATACAAAAAGTGTCCAACTTCCGCTTCTGTAGTCTATTGGCAAACACCACGATAAAATTTAGTTAGTATTCTTTATGCGCTAATTTGTAGCAAAGGATACATTTTTCTTTAGATTTATTGCATAAAAAGTGCGAAATGTTAATTTTAGCTACAGACGAACAGAACGTATTACAGAAAATCACTGAACAGACTACAGAAGCGGAAGTGGGAAATTTTTTTGTATTTTAACTGTAAACCCTGGCATGCGAGAATGGGTTGAGAATGAGTTGATATAAGAGTTGGCAGTCTCCAGTGGCAAAGCTATCCATGGTAACTTGTCATGCTATGCTAATGAACCTGCGTCTAAATAGTTTAAATTAAAGACAACACATTTCTTTAAGGTTTGAATGATGTAAATCATTGAACGTTTGCATATAGCATGACCTGTTGCCAGAGCATTTTTTAACTACATAACTCCTGGGTCATTTACCCCAGTAGGCCCTTTGCTTGCCCCAGTAGTGAAGCAATATTTTCAGATGAGCTGGGCCCTTTTGATCATTAGTAAAAAGTCATCCTTGACCTTGTTGAAAAAGCTGCATCTACCTGCTTTCTCATATCCTCTCACATTCCATCTTATAAAAGTCAGCACAGCATGGTCTTTATATGTATAAGTAACGGTGTGAGGAGGGTGCCCTCATTAAGACTTAGCCCCAGTAGTTGTAAATTCTTAAAAAATGCCCTGCCTTTTTGCTATGGCTAGCTTTGCCACTGACAGTCACGCATTGTTACAGGAGACATTTCATGCTCTGGATTAACAAAAGGTTTGATGAATGTTTCAACTATGTTTTAACTTCAACAGAATACATGATAGTGTTGGGAAAGCATTAAGAACAGCTAACCAAGCTCGCGTGACTGTCAACTCTCATGCACTCTCGTTTGATCGGAACGTAGGAACGCAATAGATTACTTGTGTGCTAATTGGTGCAAGCTAGGATTTCGACGAATTGACAGTCATCATATTTCTGAGAAAAGCGCCATACACTACAGCACCAGAACTTTATCCATACAGAATAACCAAATTTTCTATGAGTACAAGCAGATATCCTGGGTCAAAATAAATCTAACAACCCCCTCCCCAAGCTACTGGCGTTCACTGCAATAATCAAAATATTTTACAGTTCTTCGTCTCTGGAACTCTGGTGTTGTTCTCAGGGATCTTTCAACGATCAAGAGGGCTGGTAAGATTCTTCATCATTACAGAACTAAAGATTTTTTTTGTTTTATTTTTAAAATAGCATGAACAAACGCAGAATTTATTTATTTTTGTTAAAACTTTATTTTAATGACGTTAACCCGACCAGCAAAAGCTGGTTTTAACGGAGGCGTCAATTGCCAATTATACAAACACATAACTACAATAAAAAATAAACAATTATTAAGATAATTAAAAGCTCGCGGTGTGGACAGCTGCCACGCCATAATTCGTCATCAAAATGCTGACGCCATGGTCTTAGCCAGTGCGCTTATGCATGTGAGGCACTTTTGTGTGTCTCTATGCTGTGGTATGATTCCTGGCAAGTACGGTTACTGTCGCCATGTTGAGTGATATCTTGATTTGGAAAAGTGATTCCCTTGTTTGTAGTTCAAATTTCATCCAACATGACGACACTTTCTAATTCTTCTTTGAATCTCGCGGAATGTTCACACACTACATATGTTCTGATAACCATCTTTGTCTAAATCAACGTCGATATTCTATTTTATTTCAGACAATGACCAGTGTGATATTTTGCGTCGTTTCTGTCGCTCTTACCTTGTTCGTCTTGGCATTGGATGGTCCCAGTTTCTCCTACTGGAACTCCTTGGAAAGATCAAAAGCTTACTGGGACTCGAAAAGCGGTTACAGTTGCGGAACAGATAATGCGTCAAAAGCTTGCACGTGTGTAGGCTCATCTTCTCGTAAGTATTAACATTGAATAAATAAAAGCTGTTTTCCATCTCGCTATTTTATTTTCTATGGTATAGTTAAGCAGTGTATTTACACTGTCTCTGCAATGTCTACCGCCTCACATCTTCTTCTGATCTATTCATTCTATAATGTCTCTGACCAGCTCTCCTTCATCTCTTCTTTTTACGTGTCTATACCATCTCAACCTTGCTTGCCTCACCTTCTCTGCAATGTCTACCACCTAATATCTTCTTCTGATCTCTTCATTCCATAATGTCTCTGACTAGCTCTCCATCTCTTTTTATTACGTATCCATACCATCTCAATCTTGCTTCCCTCACCCTCTCTACAATGTCTACCACCCCACGTCTTCTTCTGATCTCTTCATTCCATAATGTCTCTGACTAGCTCTCCATCTCTTTTTATTACGTGTCCATACCATCTCAACCTTGCTTCCCTCACCTCCTCTGCAAGGTCTACCCCCCCCCCCACATCTTCTTCTGAGCTCTTCATTCCATAATGTCTCTGACCAGCTCTCCTTCATCTCTTCTTAATACGTGTTCATACCATCTCAGCCTTGCTTTCCTCACTTTCTCTGCAATGTCTACCACCTCACATCTTCTTCTAATATCTTCATTCCATAATGTCTCTGACCAGCTCTCCTTCATCTCTTCTTAATACGTGTTCATACCATCTCAGCCTTGCTTCCCTCACCTTCTCTGCAATGTCTACCACACCACATCTTATTCTAATCTCTTCATTCCAAGCATTGCGAACACATACTGATATTTTTGGAACCAGTTGATAATTCTTTTTAAAAAACTGAAACTAATATCTTATTCATATTGGAATCTCACAGCTCAAAAGATCAGTGACTACGAATGCAATATAGTGAGGAAACTCAGCGCCTTGTACGGAGCCTTGGTGGCGTCAGCCATTATGGTGACTTTATTCAGCAAGGCTACCATTATTGTCGTCATTAAGTCGTTGTCATGGAAACCACAAATTTATGTAAGTAATCAGTGTTTTAACATTGAATCAGTTTCCTCAAACATTTCTTACAAATCCTTCAAAACTTAGAATTTATCTATGCAAAATTCCTACTGTGATCACAGAAACTTCTATAGTGTAAACCTTAATAGCTTAAGACTTCTCTTTCCTTTTCAACAGCCATCACATCATAGTTATTACAATAGCGCAGACGAGTTCTACGTGGAATCAGGACGCCGTACGCCATCATATATCGATATGCCTGCCGTCGCCAAGCGTCCAAATGGCAATGACTATTCTGAGCATTCAAATGGAAAGAGAGCAACTCCTTACAGAAATTATCCTTTCTAAGATATTTTATTATGAAACAAAAAACGTTTGTTAATTAATTAAATTCACCTTAGGCTATGTGGGGTTTAAACAGCACTCGTTTAACAGAGGCGACTGCCGTGGGTTTTTTCTGAACTACCACCTATACTAGACACAAACGTTTGGAAAATAATAGAACTTCAAGGATGTACAGTATATGACATCAACAATTCATTGTTACAGTTAGATTCTGTATGGATGACTTTTAATATGATATAGAATATCACCGTTTATATAGCTTTTTAAATATCCCCTTGTATTCTCTAGAATAGAGCTATGTCGGTCAATTTGCCGGTCAGTTCAGATTGATAAACGATTAATCGTTGTGAACAACCGATTAACAATCAATACACACTTTCGGTAATTAAGTCGAAAGTCACTTCTTGGCATGAAAGCCTCGTTCTATATTAGATCATAATAGATAGATCGATTATTCTCTTTTACCCAATGGCCTTGTTTCCATTTTAACTTATTTAGCGTATCGGGGGCAGATAAATATTATATTCCCATGTTTTCCTGGACGAATTTGTTTCTTGCTGTTCTTAGGCTCAATAACAAAGTAATTTTCAACCCTACTAAGCACAAAACATGAGTAAGTATCTGACACGAAAACGAGGCCATTGGGTGAAAAGTGAATAATCGGTAAGGTCTATTGTGAGCGAATAGCCATACGTCTTGATTCATGAAAGCGAGGCTACCAAACCAAGGAAATATTCGTGACGTAATTGTCGAAAGGTTGTGTCATATGTTCCGGCACAACTCTCTCCTCCGCAGACGCTTTTTCACTTGCACCTTACATAAAGTAAGCGAAGTTTACCGCTGGACGGAAAAGTGAAAAAATATCTGTAAAGGAGAGAGTGTTCACAGTGGGGTTATATCTTCAAACGCATTTCTGTTGTTTGGTTTGTTTGATAGTTGGAGATCCAAATCTTCTAGATCAATCGTCGATCTTATAGTTAATTTTATATTAATAATTTGGTTACATAAATAAATTCATTTATTTGATTGAAAATATCTTTGTATTTTTGTGCGCTAACAAGGTTACGCTGTGTTTGCCCAATTTACCCTAGCGAGAGGTTCAGTTGGGAAGGAGAAGGGCTCATGTATGTATTCATGTCAAACTCGCTTCGAAATGCGTGTAAGCCAATCAGGAAAGCCGTGAAAGAATTATGTCCGTCCCAGTGAACTATATCCAGTGTTATATAGTTCAGTGGTCCGTTCAGTGAAACGAATATATCTGGAACGCTACCTTCACATAAATTGCCTGTCCTATAAATGCGTGGGTCAAGGCCCGCGTGTTTATATCATAATTGCTTGATTGAGCGCCTTCTCATGCGTGAAAAGACTGGGACTAGCCTTCAAGTTTGTCTTCAAATTTCCAGTTGGAGGTAGCGTTCCAGTTATATTCAGTTCAATGTGTCCATACGTCAGAGAAAACGTTTCGCCCCGATCACATGTCACATGTGATGACGTATGAACCTTTTTTCTCACGGCCAGAATTTTCTCGTCTTTTGATACGACTTTGTTCATCTCACTCCAAGCTGAACATAAACTTCACTTTATCGCTTTATGTTGCTTTTGTAATTCTCCTCTGAATGAACGTAAGATTCATTGGGCTATGTTACCAGTTATTTGAACAAAATATATATAAATTTTACTGTGCTGGTGTTGTGTACTCAGGTGAATAATATGTTTGCGATGTTACTCTGAGTGCATATCCACACCGGGCGAGCTTGAAAAATATGCCCGGCCACGGTGGGATTCGAACCTAGGACCTTTGGAATACTAGCCCAATGCTCTTCCAACTGAGCTACGCGGTCAGGACGGTTCGAGTAAGTGATATTTCGGAACAGTATCTAGTTCCTTCAATACCAATGTGTTCTAGTAATATGAATATTTTTCTGTGCTGGTGTTGTGTACTCAGGTGAATAATATGTTTGCGATGTTACTCTGAGTGCATATCCACACCGGGCGAGCTTGAAAAATATGCCCGGCCACGGTGGGATTCGAACCTAGGACCTTTGGAATACTAGCCCAGTAGCTCAGTTGGAAGAGCATTGGGCTAGTATTCCAAAGGTCCTAGGTTCGAATCCCACCGTGGCCGGGCATATTTTTCAAGCTCGCCCGGTGTGGATATGCACTCAGAGTAACATCGCAAACATAAAATATATATAGTGTTTTTCCAAAGACAGCACGCGTATTCATGGAAGAAAAGTTGTTAATGGAAAATGCTTTTGTAATTGTATTTTCGCAATGTTTTTAAACAAATTAAAATTGTTTTTAGCACGTATTCAGTTCCCTTTGTGGCAACAAATTAACGCGTGCAAAAATAGCACGCGTGTCAGCTCTATTTCCCATCTCGTTCCCCGAGCCTGCGATCCTCGGGAAGGAATCGAAGGCTCTGGGATAATCCGTTACCGGAAGCCAAGAATCCTGGCTAAGATTGAACTACGCATTCCATTTCAATGGCCAATCAGATTCCTCCCTGAAACGGATTATCCCAGAGCCTCGCGTTCCTTCCCGAGGATCGCAGGCTCGGGGAACGAGATTGCTCTATTTCCCAAAGGAATCTCTATTTCTCAAACTGAAAGGTGATTACGAATTGACTGGCCGCTCTCGATTCCTTCAGTAAACCGAATTTGCAGGTCGGAAATATCTTCAGTACAAAATAGCTTCAAGTCTGAAAAAAACTTCGTCATGTTGCTAATCGGAAAACCCCCAAAATTTCACAAATGAAAATAAAAGAGTTCCGATGCCGTTTCAGATTCGCTTTCAATCGTCAAATATTTTTATCAAGATCGGTAGAGTTTGGCATGAACAAAATCCAAAGGATTAACTCATATTTTATATACAACCTGTGAATTATGAGTGTGCCATTTTTAACCATGCTGAATCACAGATTGCCATACTCCCACTTAAGGTCAAGCCAGATCACCAGTCATTGACCATGACGTTAAATTTATCGTGAAACCTTGAATCACTGTGCTTTCATGTCTATTTTAAAGCCATGACTAGCATTTTGACATAGAGAACAGTTTTGTACTGACAGATATACAAAGTAACCATGCACAAATAATGTTAGCTTTTCAGCAAACAGTAGTCTTATTAAGACAATTAAGTTAAACTGATAAAATCGTGGTAGCACTCTATACCCTTTCGTGTCTATTTGAAGCTATGATTCGCATTTTAACATTCCATAGAGAACAGTTTAGAACTGATAGAGCTAACCAATATAAATAACGTTAGCATTCTACAGCAAAAGTAGACGACGTATTAAGACAAGTTGAAAATCGATTGTGGTAGCACTCTTACTATAATTATTATACCATTTCGTGTCTATTTTGACTAATGATTCGCATCAGTCACATTCCACGCCACAGTCGGGTACCGGAGATGCATTATGTGGGGGCAGGCATAGTTTCTGCCTACACACAGCTACCAATTTTGAAGCTTTTCAAATGACACGGCGGGTGTCTGCTTCGAATCAGTGGTCAACCCAATAACATGAAGCAAAGATCATTCCATTCCCATCAGATGCCCAAAGGCGCTCTTATCGAACGAAAGCTTTGAGTGGTACTACACCCATATATTTCGTCTTCGTTCGAAAATAAATCTGTGAAGCCATGGATCCTTACTACGCCAGCAAACCGCGACATTCACAAAAACGTCGTCGATCGGGAACGGCTCTCTTCTCGTTAGTTCTGCTAGGATGTGGTATCGTCTTCTTCGGAATTGTCATGATTGCGTGTGCGTTCGTTATAAACTATGCCGAGGATTTTGAAGTCGATACCGATGGTGGTATCGAGGCAGCCGTCCAAGGTGGCTTTACCTACAGTCAGTACTGGGCAGGAATACCCGTAAGTACCCTCTTCAAACTCTATCATCAGAAATATTGCCTAGTTTCCGGCTGACTTTTGATATAAATAAAACGGACAAACACACTTCAATAATAGGCAAACATATGCTTGTATATGTAACCTACCGAGTTTAGGTATGACAAGGTCCTATTGAGTTTAGTACCAGATTATAGTTTAGTTTCCTCAATAGTTTAGAAATAAAGGAACATGGACAATCTATATTTGAGCACTGTCAGCGCCTCGCGTTTTGCATTTGAAGCCAAAGAACCTTCATGAATTGCTCAAGTATGTAAATCACATCAGTCTTTAAATATTATTTCAAGGGGTGGAGTTATACTTTTTTTAGCTTAGACCAATAGGTTAATTAAATCAGCCCTTTTAACGTTTTGAATATATACTTAGCTATGTAACATTTATTTCCTTAAGTATTTCATGGTTGAGTCAAAATTCCATTTTGAATTAGCTATATGGATTAGAAATGCAAATTGGCATAGGAACCGACTATATTTTAACTCAGAATCACTGTGAATCGGTCTTTAAACTCCTGATCTTTAATTGTGATTAAATCCACAAACAACTAGCGATATACATGGTAAAAAATCGCAAGCAAAAACGGTCGTTGTATAAAAAAGGCCTTGTTATAGTAGATTCTATATACAGAACAGCCTTTCTGGCACAAGAGTAATTAATTGAGGCAAGCAATGAACGAAACATGTACATTGATATTCAAACATGGCAACCGACGGTGAAATAATTTAGGGTTGTATATTTTTTATCGAATCATCGCATCATGCCAAGAGGAATTACGAAACTGATATACAATGATTATGATCGGCAAAATCTTGTGAGAAAAAATTGAAACACTGCAGGGAGCAGGGAGATGGCATGTGGAACTTGACTGATCTGTTTCAATCTCAAGAGAACAGTTTTTTAATACCCACTGTTAAACTATTTTACTAAAAAAAATTCATGAATTACAATTCAGTGACTTATAACTTTTTAATCATGACATGATGACATTATCTTCAAAATATGCTGTTACCAATTGTACTGGGTAATTATATATGTATATTTTATTCACAAACTGCGAAAAGGCAGATTGCTGAAGAGGCCTAGGTCATGTTCCCAAATTCTTAAACCACTTGTTTTGACTTGTATATACAATAAATTTATATAGATTTGACATAATTTTGTCACGGTTATATAACATTAGATCGACTGATATGAAAGAAAAATCTATCATATAGCATTCCATGCTCCGGCCCAGATGACATATCCATTGAGATAGGATGCTTTCAAACCACGTATTTGAGTTTCATTTGAAATTTATCCTAACAGGGCCTCATGCATGAGAGCGAGTAGTTCGTTTGCACGTTGCACGTTTACACGTTGCGATTTGTCGCGGTGTAGAATTCATATTCTGCGTATGAAAAGTTACTGTTGACGTCACAATTCATCTTCTTCAGTATTTTCAGCAGCGAAATTTGACATGCCAACTGAATTTACGCGAGCTCATTCGATTATGTACGCCAGGATACGAATCGTACCGACGACAAATCGCAGCTTGTAAACGTATTTTGGCAGTCATACGAGTTTTAAAACGAGGAAACAGAATGAACTACAGCTTCAACTACTGAAGAAACTTACATGAAAATTAAGAAATACGATATGCCATTAATATCGGATTTTCAGGGAAGCGTATATACCCCCGCCAAATATTCAAACTCATTCTATAAATAATTTTACAGTTACATATAAGGCTTAACACTTCATTATTAAAATATAAAATATATTGTATTTTTTTTTCTATCGATTACAAAAGAGAAAATTGAAAGATGAAACAAATATGCTTGTCCGTAAATGAAAATGAATCTAGTTGATAAACGAAATTAAAATGAATCAGATCAAAGGTATTCAGCCGTGGGAGTTGAAGTCAGTGTTCAACGACAATGCTATAGAAATGTTCACAAATAAAGGTGTTCATACAATGCGCGGAATTCTGAAAGGAAGGTCAAAAGTGATTAACTATAGGATAAAAATATATGATCATTTGCATTCAAAAACTACACTAGGCCGCGAATATATATATTGTTTCTGGCGAGAACTGGATCTGTATGAAATCTTTTCATCGGCACATGTAATTCAATACGTAACTGGCTTTGAAAGAACCGGCTTATTGGCAGGGCTGCGTGTATTGCTATTGGCTACAATTAACATCAGTCAAAATTGGACCATATATCGTGATCTGTGTTCGTGGGTCGTTTACAATTTATATCGCTCATAAAATTAATGACCCATTCAATAACTGCGCAGTTGTTTTAAGTCTCGTGTCGTTCAAGGCGAATAACTTAGGCAAAAATACTAGGCAAAAATGTCTCACGATAACAAAAATATAAGCACCGGAATACAAGCGAAAACGAAAAGCAAAAAGCGTCCACAAACTGTAAAATACTAATGACTGTAAATGTTTTAGTCATTCCAAACAACACGTAACTTGCAAGGTAACATTTTCATCTGAGTCCACAGCTTGAAGAGCAAGATTGGTGGAACGTGCCATGTTGGAGTAGCTATGGTTTGACAATTTCCGACGATGTTTAAAACATCCTTTTTTATAATCTTCATCTTCCTTGACGGAACTGACAATACTTTTAAAGAGTTATTTCAGTATTAGAACAAAAAGTCTTTCAAAAAGAGTTACGTCAAGTGGCCAGGGAAGGCAAAAGGTCAAACGGAGCATTGTTTGCAAAGAATTTAAATCTCCATGAATAAAGACTAATTCAATTGAATAAATATTCCGTTTAAAATTATCAAGATTTTGTTGGTATCTCACTAGATTGAAGAATAGTTGAAGTGTTTTGTAAATTTTACTGTATACATTTTTAGAACTAACTAAATTATCAACATTTTACCAAAACCGCGAATGGTTCTTCTTTGTTTTCGTATCAAAACATTTAGGAATGCAACTGCATACGTGTAATATTTTCGTCTTGAAAGAAATTCAAATTTAATATACGAATAAAACAAAATTGTATAAATTTTCCAGTGTAGATTTTCGACTCCGTGACTGCGAAGTTATATCGACAGATCAGAGATGTTAGGATCAGTCAGTGAATGAATATAACCAGTGGAACGCTATCGCCTACCTCAAATTTGAAGCCAAATTTGAAGCCAAATTTGAAGCCAAATTTGAAGGCCAGCCCCAGTCCTTTCACGCATCGCGGTCAATCAGTCCAGGTATGTCTTCATCTAGATTTGGCTTCAGGAAAAGATAGCCAGTTTATCCGAAGGTAGCGTTCCAGTTATATCCATTTCACTGTACTGAGAGATCAGAGATTTTGAGATCACTATATAGCTAGTCCATCCAACATGGCACCCATGACGTCACTTGCGCACCATGAATTCCACATTCGATTAATTTGAACTCCAGGGTGCCCCGTGGAATGCAATTGATCAAATACATTATGCGATAAATTATTCTAGCAAAAATAGGATAATTTGAAACTTTGCCAAAAACTATGGTATCGGTCGAAGCAAGATTTAATAGTCAATCTTAGTTCAAAAATAAACTGCTGTGTCATTAAATTTACATTGATTTAATCGACTGGTAAAACCAAGGATTAATTTTAACTCTAACAAGGGTGTTCACCAAAAAAGGTTGACAATGCGCGCGCATTGACGGGTACATATTCTCAAGTGAGCATTTAAAAATCGTACCTTTCCTGAAAAGGAAGATATAACAGTTCAAACCTGAAATGACCCGAAACTGGGCCACATACTGTACTGCGCCCTCAAAGATCTTTGACAAATAGATACAACTTTATTTTCAAAAGCACAGTAGAAGAACGCGTATAATAATTTTTATTTAACGGTTGGGAGATCGGAATTCAGGGCTGCGCCTTCTGCCTTGCATCCTGGGAGACTTGCCAGGAGGGAGTTTAAACATTGTACTTATAATGTGAGAGAATGTTCTAGACATTAAACATATACACAGTCGAATGCCACAGAAATGTTTCATTTGCTTACTTACCTCCGTTGAGGAAATGTACACCATTTTGTGGCGAGAACTGTCGTTTGATATCGCTCTAGAAAATAGAAAATGCTTGAATATTCTTGTATAAACCCGGGGAAAGTTTATTAGTAAAGCCTGCATGGTTTACATTGTCAAAGTTAATGTCATCACAGTAGGAATTTTGCACAGGTAAATTTTAAATTTTGAAAGATTTGTAAGAAATGTTTATTAAGAAAACTGACTTAATGTTAAACACTGAGTCAGCTTCCTCAAACATTTCTTACAAATCCTACTGTGAGTGTGATCACAGAAACTTTGATTATGTAAAACAGTCTTAATACCTCTAACATTTTCTTTCTAAATTTGTGCTTAGCATGTATGTATGAATTTGAAAAATGGTCATATTCTTCATACATGAGATGCTAATTAATGTTTTTCATGGTTATAGTTCCTTGTCACAGGCGTGTTGGTGATTTGTTCTGGTACGTTCCAACACAACAGAGGATTGGTAAGTTAATTAATTAATTAAATTTTTATTTATTTATTTATTTTCAAGAAAATTTATTCATAATCAATCAATCAAGGAGTTGCATACTTATAGCTGGCAATACTATCATTGCGTGCAAGCTTTAAATATATTTCTCCTTCTTTACGTGACATTGACTTAACCAAAGTTATTAGTTTTGGAAGGTGAAACATATTAGTTTTGGAAATGTTTTGGTAACTTTTGGTAATGCATATTTGTGTAATTGTTCTTTTCAGTACAATACGACAAGAATCTTGACTAATTTTTCAGTTAGACATGTATTTCATAATATCGCCTTATGATAATCAGGCGATATACACACATGGTTACTATATAAAACAAAATCGGGGAAATAACTCATGGAAATGCACTTTCGGAGCTTGTCACTTAAAGCTACGAACTTTGTAATTTTGTCACAAACCTGCTTCATCTCCGCACCAGCCCTCCCCAATCGGACCGTGACAATTTTATTGTAGAAACACTATTAAAATACGAGAATACGCTGTAGTGTCCTAAGGACGTTTGGTTAACGCAATTTTTCTATTCACAGACAATCACAACGGTCATATTTGCATTCATATGCGTCGCTCTAACGCTGTTTATCATCAGTCTGGACGGAACAAACTGGCACAAATGGAGTTCGTTGAACGGGGAGAAACGACACTATGATAGCCTGAGTGGAGTTGACTGTGAAACAGAAAATAAAAAATGTGCATGCAAGGCAAGCACAGGTAAGAATAATACAGTAAAACTTTTGAGAGGCCGATTACATGGAGAGTTTTCAGCCCGGGCTGAAATTCAACCCGGTTAACTGAGCTGAAAGCCTGAAATACCATCACGATTACATATAACGAAAAATATTAAAATATTGCCGGTCAGCGGGAAAAAGAGCCCATAGGGAGAGTCTTTCCATATTATAAATAAGTTTTCGACGTTCTCTGGTTTTTAGATAATTATTATTACGAGCTTTCGACTGCCAGTCTGCAGTATTCAACGGGTGGATTACGATAATAAATATTTAAAAACCAGAGAACGTCGAAAACTCATTATGAATAATCCTGGTTTCGCTTCAAACATATTTAAATCTTTCCATATTGTTTCGAGTTCTCCCAAACTACCATAAATGTTTCTATAACTGTATAGAAACGCAGGAATGTATTTTTTCTATTTCGTTTATAATATAACTCAAGAAAAAGATTTTATAGCCATTTTTAATCGATTAATAGACCTTTCCCCTTTTGAGTGAAATTTTGATCTAGACAAGTCTGGACAAAAATTTCATCACAGCTTGAAAGAGCATCGCAAAATTAGTAATATTCCAAAGTTTCGTAGCGAAATGTTGTAAAATGCGGATTATATAGCCTTGCGAAGTTTGCCGTTTTTCAGTCATTTTGCATTACAAATGGGAAATTGATAGTCAGATGATCAAACTGATTATCAATTTCCCGTGCGTAAGGGACCGGTCATAAAGTAACTGCTAGGGTGGGCCGGAGTGATTTGGGATGGGCCATGGAAAATCTTTGGGCAGTTTCGATGGGCCACCAAATATTTTGTATGTCTACGGATGGGCCACCAAACAAAAAGCCATGTCTACTTTCATCCAGGGGCGTAGGAAGCCAGGGGGCCTCAGCGCCAACCATGGTGGCACCTTGTGGGAGTCGCCCCCCTAACTTTTACAAGCTTCCCTGCTTTCATCACTTATTATGATAAATATAATAGCAAATAAGATTTTAAAATCAAACATATAATACAAATCTAACAGGCTGTACACTGCACATAGGGCAGCAGGGGCAACTACCCCCCCCCCACACCCTAAAATTTAACTAATTTTATAATGTGATTATATGCTTGTAGCGGATAATTATGCAGTCAGGAAATAAAAATTTCATGCAAACAATATTCAAAATGTCTATACAGCCGGCCATTTAGTAAACTGTCACTTGTCAATCCATACTCATAAAATTTTCAAAACTTTATTGTGATCATATGAAGCAAAAGTTCTGTCACTTGTTGTTTACACTTGCCAATGTTAACTGTTGAGTAACATACACACTATTCGAGGAACATGCATTACTGTAGCAAAGAGTCAATCATATATATTGAAGACCATGCACTGAATAGTAGAGAATGTTTTGAAGGTCATTTGTGCATGAAGCATATATTCAATTCCAACCCTGTGCACAGTTAATGATATACCACACTGTTTGGTTTAACTCAGCATATCCACACAAAAACAATTTGTGTTGTGGGAGAATATCTGTTTGAGTAGAAGGTATCACAAGTTTAGTTTTGTACATTTGTCTGCCATTGATCTGATCCATCCATATAATATATGATTATTGTAGCAATAACTTATTTTCCATACTGATGAATTTAGGTAAGATTGTCTTGCAAGTGGGTTGTTCTGACAAAATTATCCAGCCAATATCCAGTATTCATCATTCGATCTTGTATTAATCTCTAAACAAAAACATTTATATTAGAAAGCAAAATGACAATGTAATGAGGAGGGAGGGTGGGGATTCTTTTATTAGCATTTGAAAATGGTTGTCACAATTTTGTACAAACCTAACTAGTGGCCTACATTAAAAAGCCTGTAAAGGTTTCCAGTAGGTCTCTAGCCCATCACCTTCAAACTACACATAGTTTTGTTACTTATAATATATTGTACACATGGGAAATAAATATATGATTGATTGAAACCAAAATGTATAAGTATAATTTAACTGATGACATCTTTACCCAGACTGCAGAGTACGGCAAGTGCACACCCGAGATTTTTTTTGGCCAATGGTATTGCACACTTAAACATATTTCAAATATTTTCCAGTTTTGTCAGGCATTAAAATAAGGACTTCTAAGACAAGTGTAATATAACAACCACCTGAAAATCGGGAACGCTGATTCATGGGCGGAAATGTCCATTAAAGTTTCGAATTTCTATCTATAGCATGTAAGCATGGGCACAAGAGAACTTATAATTGGTCCGATTTCCTCGAGGCGCCACCACGGTTGGCGCCGAGCGGAAAAGTTTTGAAATTTGGAGTCCCTACATTGTCGGAAATGGCATTTTCGAGTGCACACTTTTCCATTTACAACTCAATTACAAGGACATGCACATTTTCCTTTTACAGGACACAAAGTGTGTCAAAAACACGCTATTTTGTACGTGTTCATAATGACTTTTAACTCTGATCGAAATATATATTCTTGTTTGTTCGTCAGAATTTGGACCACGTTTTGTTTTCCTGAGAGGCAGAAATTTTAGTTATTTGTACAAATAAACAATCATTGTTTTAATAATATCATTAGAACATGACTACCTTAACTGAGTGCACACTTGACTACCTTAACTGAGGATTGCACACTTGCACACCTGAATTTTTGTCTTGCACACCCGAGATCTCGTCGAAAACTGCCATACTCTGCAGTCTGGATCTTTACCTTTGCTCTAACACTACATTTGATGACAACTTAGTTGGACTGTTGTTTTGAACAGAGTTACAGAAATACAGGACCAGGATTTAATGGGCTATTCCATTTAATATCCGTACCCCCCCTGTCGAGGATCCCTGGAATTCTTCAGGGGTAAAGGGTTTTGAGCTTGGAATTCTTCAGGGGCAAAGTGTTTTGAGCTTGGAATTCTTCAGGGGTAAAGTGTTTTGAGTTTGGAATTCTTCAGGGGTAAAGGGTTTTGAGCTTGGAATTCTTCAGGGGGAAAGGGTTTTGAGCTTGGAATTCTTCAGGGGTAAAGAGGTTTGACTTTGAAATTTTTCAGAGCTTGGAATTCTTCAGGGCTGAAGGGTTTTCAGCTTGGAATTCTTCAGGGGTAAAAGGTTTTGAGCTTGGAATTCTTCAGGTGTAAAGAATTTTGAGCTTGGAATTCTTCAGGGGTAAAGGGTTTTGAGCTTGGAATTCTTCAGGGGGAAAGGGTTTTGAGCTTGGAATTCTTCAGGGGTAAAGAGGTTTGACTTTGAAATTTTTCAGAGCTTGGAATTCTTCAGGGCTGAAGGGTTTTCAGCTTGGAATTCTTCAGGGGTAAAAGGTTTTGAGCTTGGAATTCTTCAGGTGTAAAGAATTTTGAGCTTGGAATTCTTCAGGGGTAAAGGGTTTTGAGCTTGGAATTCTTCAGGGGTAAAGGGTTTTGAGCTTGGAATTCTTCAGGGGTAAAGGGTTTTGAGCTTGGAATTTTGGAATTCTTCAGGGGTAAATGGTTTTGAGCTTGGAATTCTTCAGGGGTAAAGGATTTTGCAGAGCTTGGAATTTTGGAATTCTTCAGGGGTAAAAGGTTTTGAGCTTGGAATTCTTCAGGGGTATAACAATGAAAAACATGTATCCTCGACAGGGGGTGTACGGATATTAAATGGAATAGCCCAATTCAATATCTCCTGAGAACATTAGTTTCTTGTGATATTGTTAATTGGCAATATAATGCCTGCAGCCAGAGTTTTGACTGTTTAAGAATTTTTATACACAATGATTGTTTTTATACTGTATAAATGTATATAATAAAATGTGGTATTTGGCTACTTACCAGATAAGGATAAGTTTCCATGTTGATAGATAACTTTGGAATAATATCACAAGTAGAAGGTCAGCCAATTCAAGATAAAATCAAGATATTTTTGAAGCCAAAATATGGCAAAGAATAACACGAGTACATGACTTACACCGTTACACAGAATAAAGACATACAGAAGTGTAACTTCCATTACAAAACCGTAAGGCGCTTTTTACCGAATAGCTGGCGGCCATGTTCTTAGCAAGTGCCCTAAAGAGAGGCATTCACCCCCCTGGAATATTAAATTTTCAATATCTTTTCAGGGGGGTGACTGCCTCTCTTTAGGGCACTTGCTAAGAACATGGCGGACTGAAAAAATCCCTTACGCACTTTTAATAAGAAGATACACTTCTGTATGTCTTTATTCTGTGACCGTTACAACAGGCCAAACTACGCCCGTTCGCAGGTTAGGTGCGAGCACGATATAAACAATTGATGTAAGCTAATCGCTGATTGGCTTAATTATATAAACTCATCGCTGAATGGCTATGGCCTATGGGTAACGTTAATAGTAATCTGCTTCGCAGATACAAAAATAAAGATATACACCGGCACTGTATAGACACTTCCCGAATTTGCTTGAGTGCACACGAAACAATAGCTTGGAATCGAGGCGGACAATGTAATCCATTGGAAAACTATACTTATTTCCAATGGATTACATTGTCCGCCTCGATTCCAAGCTATTGTTTCGTGTGCACTCAAGCAAATTCGGGAAGTGTCTATTGAATATATATGTTCATACCTACAAGTATTTTTCATAATAAAAGTGTACTTTCCCAATTTAGATTGGGTGGGTGGGTCATGAAATAAATTTGGTAAGATTGGATGGGCTTTGAAATTTTTATCTACATCCTAAGATGGGTCACCAAACTTATTGGCAAAATTTGTGATTTACCTCCAGCCCACCCTAGCAGTTACTTCATGACCAGTCCCTAATACAAAATGACTGAAAAACGGCAAACTTCGCAAGGCTATATTATCCGCATTTTACAACATTTCGCAACGAAACTTTGGAATATTACTAATTTTGTGATTCTCTTTCAAGCTGTGATGAAAATTTTGTCCAAGCATATCTAGATCAAAATTTCACTCACAAGGGGAAAGGTCTATTTACGAATTCTCATTACCCGAGACAAAATTGTCTTTGGCTCGTGAATTTCACTTTATTCTTTAAAATAATCCAATTTCTCCGCTATTTAAAGTGAGAAATCGTTTTGAATTTCGTTGAGGAGACTGGTCAACTATTACATATTTTTTCGATTATGATCAGTATTAGAAGACTAATTAAAATTGTTTTGTTTACGTTACTAAATAAGGACCAAAAAAGACATTCGACTATGAATGCGACGAAATAAGCGAACTAAGTTCACTGTATGGTGCTGTGGTTGGCGCGTCCATTGTTGTTGCTGTTTTCTGCGTCTTTAGTATCCTCATTGTTACCAAGTCGTTGTCATGGAAACGAATACGATACGTAAGTTCCAATACTGGGTTTAAATTTGCTAATTGTAATGTATTTCTCGTGTAACCGAGTGAGGATTGAATGCAAAAGTAACCTTTGATTTAAGATAATTTTAATAACGACTATTTCAAGATGGACTCTCTCGCTGAACGTCTCTACACATGTTCCCTCCTGCGCATGCGTGTCTCTGTCCTTAATAGCTCAATGAGCCGTTAATAACTTGCTATAAGGTTATGATGAGCTCAACAGACTTGTTACAATATGTTTCAACAACTTGTTATCGTTCTGCAATTCAACAATTTGTCAACAAGTTGTGAGTGACAACCTTGTAGCAACTTGATAAAATAACAGCATTGTTACAACTTGTTGACAAGCTTGCTGCAAGCCTGTTGCGAACACATCTTGTTAACAAGTTGGGAGATTTTTACGTGCGTAGTGCAAAAATTATGGACAGTTCTATTGTCTAATAGTAATAACACAGAATAAGTACATACAGATGTCGAGCTTTTACTGCGCATCAGCTGACGATCATGTTCTTAACAAGTGCCCTGAAGGGAGGCATTCACCCCCCTGGAACATTAAATTTCCATATGTTTTCAGGGGGGCGACGGCCTCTCTTTAGGGCACTTACTAGGTAAGAACATGGCGAACTGAAAACCCTTACGCTAAATTAACCTAATCATTTTGTTTCCACACAGGGCCATCATCGTTCATATTACCAAGATGACTTCCACATGGAGCCAGCACGTGGACCGCCATCCATGATCGAAATGCCCTATGCCAAACGTGGAGAATTCCTTGAAGGCCCACCACCGACCGGCCCCCCGTACAAGCAAACCGTCTACCGAAACTACCCTTACTAACCAGCAGCCTGGACGGGGGATGTGAATTTTATGTTATCATATAACACACGATTACCACAACAGTGAATTGTAAAGTTTAACGATGAACGACGCATGAAAAAGTTTTTGTATTAGTAGAGATGATTTCACACTTTCCAAGCTTTTTAATTATTTTCCATTAATTTGTAGCAATATATATTTGTAACAATTTTTATGTCACATCAGTTTTTAATAATTTTGAATATTATATTTTAACAAGTTTGTTTTATTCGTGTTCTTTTATTTAAGACGTTGTACTGCGAACATATACTTTGCATGTTTTACCCGTCAAGAAAAAACTGACAAGGAAGGAAGTATAATATGCATATTCACAGCTTTACAAAGGTCGAGGGTTGTCGTTATGTGCCCAGCAAACCTGGAAATTCACATATCTCCATGCATCTCCTTTCGTAATTAAAGGACATTGGCAATAACAAATTAGTTTAGTTCATTTGAAAGAACTTTTACAACTATACATTAAACTTTTAGTACAGATTGGTTATATCTTGCTTAGTTTCCAACATATTTCGACTGAAAAAAGTGAGCTGTTCGCCATTTTGGATCATTGAGGATATGCATGTTACGTCAAGAGAGGGGTCACGCTAATTTTTATCTTCAGAATAAGCGATCAATATGGGTCCGAAACTTCGTTTCTGGTTGCTGTCTGAAATTTAGAAATGATTAAAAACATTTCAAACAATTTTGGATTGTTACTCGGTTATTTTAGAGTAGTTTTATATGGTTAACCCAACTCCTGACATCATCAAAACCATAGTTAATGAGGTCAAGAATTATTCTTTTAGTTTTAATAAACTTTCGTACATCATTATACGAGGAAATTAAAAAACAAAGCAAGCTCCAATCATGGTTTAATTCCGAAAATGGCGGACAGCTCATTAATTTCGGTTTAAATATTTCGAGAACTAAGCAAGATATGACAAATCGGTAGTTTTAACATGTATAATTTTAAGAGTTCTTTTGAATGAGAGAAACTAATTTTTTATTGTCAATGTCCTTTATGTATATCAAATTAAGTTTCTGTTCATATGAGAATAAAGCCAGGCAAAAATCATTTCCAAATGTGTTGCAACAGATTCCCCCAACTTACCTGTTATTTTGAAACTTCCATACCCCCTTCAATTATGTTGGGCTTCTTACTTTGGCGTGTGAGGAGGGAAGAGCCAGTGTCAGTGTTGTAGCGATCGAGATTATCTGGTCGAGTCAACTCAATGGGCGCTTTCCATTAACACGGCCAGACCGGTCAGAACGGCCAGATTGTTGAATGAAACAGAAAACATTTGGGCTTCGGTCCTATCTGACCTGAAAATTTAGATAACATTAGAATGAGGTCCATTTTCGCTAGATATTTGAGAAACATAGGCCAGATCTTTCCATTGATACAGAGAAAAGAATTCGTGTCTGACCGGTTAGGCCATTAAATGGAAAGCGCCCAATGGCTTCACTCGTGTCGAGTCAATGGCCGAACAAAAAGGTGAACAAAAATGCTTTTAAAAATTTCCCTACAAGTGGAAACGTGCCTATCTGTATCGAAAATTACTTTTTATCTCTTTCAACCCTTTCACGACTTTTCACAGCCTATTCAACTACAATATTTTCGATGAATTTATCCAAGATATAAAGACTAAAGTATATTATAATTATAATGTACATATTATATACAAGAGCACATTTCATAAATTCATTGGCATTGCTTACCTTTTAACAGTGATATCTCAATTCCAAATAGTTTAATGAATCATTGTCGTCTGTGCTGATTTCATTCGATGTATCTCTCAGCCAGAAGCCTCGAAAGAACTTCGTAATATTTTACACATCATATCCTCTGTTCAGCTTCTCTGATCGCTTTAGCTAATTGCTTCCTTCTCAGGAGCGAAGAACTGCTGCACTTCACAATACAAAACCGAGAATTTGATCATAATATATTAGCCAGAAAATCTCGCCATTAAATTGTTCTTGTGAAGATTGTTGTACAAACTTTAAAATCTTTGGAATAAACAGGCATTCTTTACTAGCTTTTTGCCTTCGCAAAGTTTTGACGCCCAGTAGATTCACAAGCGAACATGTGCACAAACAAAGCATGTACATAATTTCAATTATTCATGATCAATTCCTTTAGACACCAGCATTCTTTTGGGTATAATTTGTATTGTATTTTATTGTTGGATGAAACTTGTCATCCGATTACACTACTCTATGTAGATTTAACAAGTGTAGCAATTAAAATTTTATCCGGTGAAATGGCATTTAGAATAAACAAGTAAACAATGAGTGACAGGATGGCATGGAGAACAGTGGGATTTTCAAAACAATGAAAAGGCAACAGAGCATTCTGATCACTGGATCGTGACTGGATGATACTATTGTTATATGCTAATTGTTATTGTAAAAGCTACTTCGTAAACAAGCTCGAGTATGTTTTTGCTGGCTGAAAAGCACAATCAGGCCGTGAAATCAGGCCCTGAACAAACGCGAGTTTGATGGAAAGAAACTTCAAGCCGCTTAGCAGTTAGAATAATTCAGTGCACATTTTGATGAACTCTAAATAAAAAGTCTGGCAAAAAAACAAGTTTTCAAACTTAAGCCTGGTTTCCATATGGTCGTAACGGTCGTAAAGATTGAGTCACAATCTTTCTCATCAGCCGAAATACAACATTTTAGAACTGAAAATACGCGGAGTGATTCTAACTAGAAAATACTTATGATTTATACTGTATGTAGTTTACAGGCATAAAAACTATCATAAACTGGCTATTGTCATTGATCGTGACTCTCTTTTTACGAAGTATTAGGGGGGTTTTGCAAATGAATGAATTACGTCTATTTCAAGCGAAGTCTTGGAAAATGCGTACTTTACATTCAGTAGCGTACTGAGTTTGAATGAAGACAAAACTATGTTCACTTCGAGAACTTTTTCAAACAGTGCTAGTTGCATTCTTATTTTGGTCGAGACTTCTCGTGTTTTGGTCATTATTACACTTTCTTCGTGTGTTGGACGGCTTCAATTCTGGCGACGCAGAGGATGACGTCTTCTTCAATGCATTCGCTCCGAGTACTGGCGCCGTTGTACTTGCCGTATAACGTCGTTGCCGACCCCGGCGTCCTCGTAAAAAGTCGGCCCAGCATTGTCGGACTTCTGGCTGCCTCACACAATGAAACCAGAAGATAGCGAAACCTTGTAGCGAGTTGAAGATACAGAATAAATACTGGAATAACAGGCGAGCACTTCCAATAGCAAGCATCCCAAAGAACCACGTCAGACCAAGAAGAACCATTATTGCTAACGCCACTTTTACCTAAATGAATTGAATGAATAATCAGTGTTTTGCCTGTAGGTCTCAAGCTGTATTCAACATTTTAAATCCAGCTAGCCTATATTATTGTGCACGGAACATCAGGATCCCTTAACAATATGACTGATTTTAACACATAGAGGTATTTCACTGTACGCGTAAAAATCTCGCCAGCTTTGTCAACAAGATGTGTCGCACTACTTGTTCCCAGTTTTTTTCTGTGTTGGTGTAATGTACTCAGGTGAATATGATGCTTGTGATGTTACTCTGAGTGTGCATCCACACCGGGCAAGCTTGAAAAATATGCCTGGCCACGGTGGGAATCGAACCTACGACCTTTGGAATACTAGCCCAATGCTCTGCCTACTGAGTTACGCGGTCAGGTCGGTTCGAGTATGATAATGTGATAAGTTCGGGATAAGTTGTTATCATCTTGTAACAAGGTTGATGAGGCCAACAGTCTCGTAACAAATTGATGACCACAAGCTCTTGGCAACTTGTTACGAACAGCCTGTATTAGTCTTGTTGGAACAACTTGTAGCAAGTCTGTTACCATCATCAACCTTGTAACAAGATGATAACAACGCGTTCCAGACTTGTCACAACAACTGGGAACAAGCAGTGCGAACACATCCTGATATCGGCTTCACAACAACCTTGTTACAACTTGTTCGCAAATTTTTACGTGTGTAGAATAACATTCCACCTACCCTACGATAACCTTTCATTTTGTTTTCTTGAGAGACTTCTTTTCCCATTTGAGACAATGAATACATAGTGAGAGCGAACATTATGAAGTTCATAAGAAGAACGATGACTGCTGGCGTAAACACACTGATGTAGAAAGGCAGGCCATGAAGAAAACAGCTGAAAAAGTAAAGTAAAGTACACCGTGAAAAATCTCCCAACTTGTCAACAAGATGTGTTCACAACAGGCTTGTAGCAAGCTTGTCAACAAGTTGTAACAATGCTGTTATTTTATCAAGTTGCTACAAGGTTGTCACTCACAACTTGTTGACAAATTGTTGAATTGCAGGACGATAACAAGTTGTTGAAACAACTTATAACAACTCTGTTGAGCCCAACAACCTTGTAGCAAGTTGTCAACAAGTTGTAACAACGCTGTTATTTTATCAAGTTGCTACAAGGTTGTCACTCACAACTTGTTGACAAATTGTTGAATTGCAAGACGATAAAAAGTTGTTGGAACAACTTGTAACAATTCTGTTGAGCTCAACAACCTTGTAGCAAGTTGTCAACAAGCAGTTGAGAACTTGTCAACAAGCTAGGAACAAGCAGTGCGAACACATCCTGTTGACAAGTTGTTGGAACAGCCTTGCTACAAGTCCTGCAGCAGACTTGTAGCAATGCTGTTCCAACAACTTGTCAACAGGATGTGTTGTTGATGTGTTGCTATGCTCGAAATACTTTCTACCAACGCAGCCATGAATCAGCACGAAATACGTTGTTTCTTTCACATATCATAATCCTTAACATCAATACATCACAGACCTTTCCTCAGTGGAGTAGTCATCAAAAGCGAGTGAACCAGTAATTATCACAACCAATCCTGGAATACCTAGAGAGAAAAATTGTGTCAAATGAAGCAACGATCGATTATAAATCTGTCCATGAATATATCAATGTTGGAACTGATAGAGTTATGGTGATCGCTAGATAGTATACTTCAAAATAAGGTTTCCATTTTTATAACGTAGAAAAAACTATCCTAACGCAAAACTAAACCCTAACCCTAATACTAACCCTCACCCTAACCCTAACCTAACCCTAACCTAAACCCTAACCTAACCCTATCTTATTTTAATTATTTTAAAAATTGATATAAAAACGGAAATCTTATTTTGAAGTATACTATCTAGCAATTGCCATAGAGTTATCCAATATATATGTAAATAGAGTTTGGGTTTATAGTTTAGCTTAACGTATACTCATAATATCACTAATTAAATCCGATCCTACGTACATAATACTTACCCCAAGCGATGATGACAGCCTTTGGTATAAATCTGGGTACATGCGCAGACATGACCTTCACGAAAGCGAGGTACATATTAATTCCCTCAACGCCCATCCATGAGAATGTCGCGAGCAGGAAGTAGTGAACCAGAAGACCGGACACCAAACAGCCCGTGGTCTTCGGAACCCGAGTTGCGACGACGAAATACGAGACTAGCAGACCAATCAAAGCGATGCACAGGTGGCATAGAATGGTCTGGGCATTGCTGCGTCGTAAGTCGCTATGAAAAGAATGAAATTACATATTTTAATAAAGCATGAAGTTTGTGCGTAACTTGAACCAGTGTGGGCGATACTGGGGACATTAGAGAGAATACTTTAGAACTTAGTTTAGTTTAGCTAGGTTTCCTCCTGTAGTAACACTGTATCAATAAGAGATTATCCTTAATGGACCTCTAGGAAGAACAGTTTAGAACTGATAGAGCTATGCAGCAGAAATAAAGTTAGTTTAGTTTAGGTTTCCTCCTGTAATAACACGTACTGGATCAAGAAGAGATGATCCTTGCTGGACCTCTAGGAAGAACAGTTTATAACTGTTAGAGCTATCCAGTATAAATAAAGTTAGTTTAGTTTAGGTTTCCTCCTGTAGTAACACTGGATCAATAAGAGATTATTCTTACTGAACCTCTAGGAAGAACAGTTTAGAACTGATAGAGCTATATCTAGTATAAATAAAGTTAGTTTAGTTTAGGTTTCTTCCTGTAGTAACACTGGATCAGTAAGAGATGATTCTCACTGGACCTCTGATAGAGCTATTCAGTATAAATAGAATTAGTTTAGTTGGTTTTGTTGGCTTACCGAAAGAAGATGTAGGTGATGAGGGTTAATATGGCGGCAAGCAAGGATACTGTACAACCAACGTAACTAATGACAGACAATGCATGTCTGTGATCTGAGTCTAGCTCGTCTCTATTTGGGTCAGCGGTCAAGAGAATGGCAAAATTGGTCATGTGATTGCAGTTGCATGTCACATGACCAGACGTGGTTCCGGAATAGTAGCAGCCTTCCGTTGACCAATTACCAAAACCATCTGCAAAAAATAAGGATTTATATTATAGTTGCAAAGTTGTCAATGGCTTGTTGACACTTGCTACAAGTGTTTAGCTCAACAGACTTGTTACAAGTTGTTCCAACAACTTTTTATCGTCCTGCAATTCAACAATTTGTCAACAAGTTGTGAGTGACAACCTTGTAGCAACTTGATCGGAAATAATAGCATTGTTACCACTTGTTGACAATTGCTACAAGGTTGTTGAGCTCAACAGACTTGTTACAAATTATTCCAACAACTTGTTATCGTCCTGCAATTCAACAAATTGTCAACAAGTTGTGAGTGACGACAACCTTGTAGCAACTTGATAAAATAGCAGCATTGTTACAGCTCGTTGTCAAGCTTGCTACAAGCCTGTTGCGAACATATCTTGTTGACAAGTTGTAAGATTTTTGCGTGTGTATAGATTTTAAAACATTACCGTTAGCTGTGAAGTCCCAGAAGACACAACGAGGACGAAGTCTACTGCCATTTTTCATATCTTCGGAAAACTTCAATTCAATGGCTCCTTCAAGCATGTCAATGGATGCATCCTTAAATTTTCCGGCCAAAACAATATCCCCGATACTTCCTCTTCTTTCGCCATCTTGCTTTTCATTCTTGGAACTTTTTCTATGGAGAGATACTGGGAAGAACTTGTTGTTTTGGTAAACAATTGTTATAATACGGTCAGAGCCTTGCTGTTTGGCCTTTTGTAAAGCTCTTGCTGCAATTGTAATTTGTTGTTGGATGGGCGATAAAGAATTTTGTTTCATTAAATTTGCAATATATGTGAAGTCTTCGTCCAGTGACTGTCGAGTGATGGCTTCTCCTTTCATTTCAATATTGCTAGCGTTGTAGAAGAAAACTCCATTCTGTAACGGTACATTTTCAGCGAATGTTTCCGTTGCGTTAATCAATCTAAAAAATTATAAAAATTATGAAAAAAGGGTCCAAAAAGTTCATACGGTGGAATAGCCAAAATTATTTCTAAAAAACATTTCAAACGGCTATTTATGTAGAGTCGTGTATTTACACACGCAAAAATCTCACAACTTGTTAAAAATGTGTTCGCAACAGGCTTGCAGCAAGCTTGTCAACAAGTTGTACAGTAACAATGCTGTTATTTTATCAAGTTGCTAAAAGGTTGTCACCAACAACTTGTTGACAAATTGTTGAATTGCAGGATGATAACAAGTGGTTGGAACAACTTGTGACAAGGATGTTGAGTTCAACAACCTTGTAGCAAGTTGTCAACAAGCCGTTGACAACTTGTCAACAAGCTGGGAACAAGCAGTGCGAACACATCCTGTTGACAAGTTGTTGGAACAGCATTGCTACAAGTCTGCTACAGGTGTGTTACAACTTGTTAGATTTTTACATGTGTAAAGTATACCGTACTATTTTCTATTGTTCTCAATGGATTTTGACATTCACCATAATTCATCAAGACCTCATTCACGGAAACAATCAAAACCGTGAACAAGATTTCGTATCAAAACCACTTACCGTGCAGTAGTGTGATTGAGAAGTTGACTTTCAGCCAACACATCTTCATCAACGGATAAAATATTATTTAGCACCTTCATTACATTCTCAGCGACCTAAATTAATAAAAAAAATGATGTGTATAAGATCACCTTATGTATCTTCTGGACTTCTTAATCCTTCGTAGCAACACAAACAAAAGTTTCATCCCTATTTACTGCTAGGTTACCTCTGTCAGAGAACTGTTATAATCCACGATATCAACAATTGTATTTGTCGCTAGAGCAACGTCATTGAAATCTAGTTCAGTAGCAACTGCTGTTTCCGTCGCCAAAACCTCAGTAATGTTATTAACGTTTGATTCATCAATTGGCGTCTGTTGAAAAATCAAGAATAATTCGTTATCTTCCTGAGAAAAAATTATCCTAGGAAACATGGCTAGAAAACTGATTTGTCCACCTTTGGGAAACATGGCTAGGAAACAATCTTTCCTGGTTTGACCACCTTTGGGAAACATGGCTATATAAGAAAAATGTTTCCTGGTTTGTCCACCTTTTTGGAAACATGGCTAGGAAACAATGTTTCCTGGTTGGTCCACCTTTGGGAAACATGGCTAGAAAACAATGTTTCCTGGTTTGTCCACCTTTGGAAAACATGGCTAGGAAACAATGTTTCCTGATTGGCCCACCTTTGGAAAACATGGCTAGGAAACAATGTTTCCTGGTTTATCCACAAGTTATATTTTACCTTGGAAAGTTCCAACAACGTTTCAGTGTGTTTCGATGGAATACATTTGGAAGAGTCAAATTGTGCCCAAGAAGCTGTTTTGTTTCCTACCAAATTACAAACTCGTGTGACGGTGACATTACTAGGACCATATGGACATTTATGTGTTGCTTCGTTATCCACCCTTGTAGTTTCCCAGGCAAATGTCCCTTCACTGGTCCAAATTATTTCTTCTTTGCATTCTGAAAGACATGGGAAAGTAATATGTGAAATATGAAATTGTTGTGCTGAGTGGTTATATATTACTACCTGAAATAAACAAGCAGAAACTCGACGTTTCGAGCGAAGGCCCACTGGTACAGACAGTTTTAGTATATGTCAAACATGCCTGTTTCGGTGTTCTATAGAACAATAATGATCCTTACTGGACCCTAGGAAAAACAGTTCAGAACTGATAGAGTTATCCATTATAAATAAAGTTAGTTTAGTTTAGATTCCCTCCTGTAGTAACACTAGATCAATATTAAGGAATGATTCTTACTGGACCTCTAGAAAGAACAGTTTAGAACTGCTAGAGCTATCCAGTATAAATAAAGTTAGTTTAGTCTAGGTTTCATCCTGTAGTACCACTTGATTAATAAGAGATGATCCTTACTGGACCTCTAGGAAGAACAGTTTAGAACTGCTAGAGCTATCCAGTATAAATAAAGTTACTTTAGTTTAGGTTTCCTCCTGTAGGAACACTGGATCAATGAGAGATGATCCTTACTGGACCTTTAGGAAGAACACTTTAGAACTGATGGAGCTACCCAGTATAAATACAATTAGTTTTGTATAGATTTCCTCCTGTAGTAGCACTGGATCAATGAGGAATATAAAGATTAGCAACAACTGAAAAATTAATCAATATTGAAAAAGATATGTTGTTTGGTACAATTTTTACGGAATAGTTGGTACCAAATCTCGGCTTACCTACGATTGGCAAGCATGAAATTGATCCGTTACCAAGAGTCATCTTTCCTTCGGGACATTTTTGACAGTTTTCCAAATTTGATTTTGGTTTATATGTGCCAGTTGGACAGGGCTGACAGACAACTGGAGTGGCTTGATCATAATGATAACCTGCATTGCATTCTACATAAAAAGTAGAAAAACACTAATTCCCACCGGGCACACGACGTTGTTTCAACGTTGAAATTTGGTAGAAAAAAGGTTGCGACGTCGACAACCTAGCTAATATCTACGTTGCTCTCACGTTGTTTTACAAACATTGGTTCAACAGCAGCCAACAGACGTTGAATCAACGTTCATTCATGGTTAAATGTACGACGTCGATTTGTGAACCAATCTCAACGTTGTTTTAACGTGGATTTAACGTTGAATTATGGTTGACGAGATTGGCAACCTAATTTCAACGTTGTTTCAACGTCGAAACAGTAACGTCGATCCAATTTGCACAGTCAACCCTTTTTCAACGTCTATCCAACGTCTGGAAGGTCATTTCCAACGTTGATTCAATGTTGGATAAACGTCATTTTGCCCGCTGGGTTAATTTTTTCTTAATAAATAAACCATAAAACCGGTCTAACACCGTCCAGAAAGGACAACGACAACAACGACAACGACAACAACTTACCGCAAGAACTGCTTTCTTCTCCAGGGACAAAAGTGGCTCCATCAGGACAGCAAGTCATTTCGATTCTTTTCACTACGCAACAATATCTTATATTGCTATCATAAGGGGCAGCACGCGCTTCAACGATTTCTTCATTCTTTCCCTTCAATGCCGGGATACTTGACAACCAATTGAATTTTTCTAAATATTCCTCATGCATTTCACGAGTGGCATTGATACAAAGATGTAGTTTCTTATCACTAGGCTTTTCTTCAGCGCCATCTTTAAACCGATACAAGAACGTTGCAGCAAGAACAAGATCCCCCGACTTTGATTTCTTTTTATAACCAAGATAGTCGAATGTAACATTAACGCGACCACAGCTCTCTTTTAGTTGACCATGCCAGCCGCTAGTGGCGGATTTAGTAAATGGGGACTTTTTAAATTCATTGGTCGTTTCGTGAAAATCGATGTTACCAACGCGAGTAGCATCGTAGTAAATGTCCACATCAACAAGCAAGCAATGGGGTGACAGCGGGGCGAAACCTAAATATGTTTAAAACATGTATTGTTAGTTATGGACATGTAATCTTTGTTTTCTGTTTAAGTAATCCTCAAACAAATTATACGAGTCATATAGGCTACGTACACTGTATACCAGATAGCTTTCCGTAGCGACATGAAAAACACCTAACGTACTTTTAGGAACGCTAGTTTCAGTGGAATTATTGCGACGGAGAGATGTTGTTTCGCTCAGTTTCTGAAAGTTGTACATTCCGTATTGGGCAGTTACTTTTACGCTTCGCTACGGAAAGTCATCTGGCATAGTGTATAAACTTAGCCATAAGGACATCGACATAAAGTCAGTCTGAAAAGGGATTACAATGTAGTTACGAGATAAGAATCTCATCTACATTGTTTTGACATGATAGTTTCTTTCAACAACCTTAATGAATTCATCAACTTCTCTTTTTGGCGGTAATATACAATTCGATGAACTAAGTAATGGCGTGTTTAATGAATTGTATTTGAATCGGCCAATCACAAAATCTTAAAGGCGCTGTTACACTATGCAACTTGTCTCGCAAAAGTAGAATCAGGTTCTACTTTCCGCAACGTTTGCTGCAACAAATGTTGCGAGACTCGGTGATTGCGATGTATGCATGTTATACCTTGCAATCTTGCGTGCGACTTGTGCCGCAACAAAATTGCAACACAAGTTGCAAGATAAGTTGCATAGTGTAACAGCGCCTTAAATGTTTACATGATTTAGATTCTCGGAAGAGATAGAGCTTATAGGTATTCAAGCATGCAGGATTTTCAAAACGACAGGCCAATGATTACAGGTTTAATTCTTGAAAGGTTTGCCAAAAATGGATGTCTAGTGCAGGTAGCTAGCATTCTACATTTGTCTGCCTAAACGAGTGATCTTCGCTTGAAACGGCAAATTTTTGCTAATCTTTTCAAGAAACTGAATCATACACGAGCACCGCGGCTTAAATAAATTGTCACAGAAAATCACGTCTTATTTGCATTTCATATCATAAACAATAGTACCGAAATTCTATTCTGTATATAATATATAGTTGTAGTTCGGTTGTAAAGTCTGGTTTTTACACTATCAAAATTTCTGTGATCACAGTAGGAATTTTGCAAAGGTAAATTTTTGAAGGATTTGTAAGAAACGTTCCTCGAACAGACCCATTGTTAAACACTCAATTAGTTCCCTCAAACATTTCTAGTACAAATCCTAATTCAAAACTTAGAATTTACCCATGAAAAATTGCCACTGTGATCACAGAATCTTTTATAGTAGCTTATAAACCAGCCTTAAGCCGGCATGGATTCAAATCACTGCCGTTCGAGTCCGACTGCATGAGAGTTATGTGATTAATGTCATAATGATGATGATGATTTATATACTTGATTTTATTATCTCCATTTATATCAATCCAGTACAGCACAATGTTCAAACAGAGCTTGATATGTAATATTGCTATCAATTACAGATAGCATTTATAAAAATATTATATAGCCTACAGTAAAATAATACAAACGTAGATACCTGCTTTGCCATAATCTATTTGAATGCTCAATAGAGCAACAAGACCAATAATTTTCCTTAACAACCAAGACATACTATACCACACTGTGCCACTGTCTTGGTATAACTCATAATATCGACACAAAAACCCTAAGCTTTCTTTCGACGAATGGCCACAGCTATATAATACGTGACAAGGAAGCAAGTTTTTTGCGTAAACGTGAGGAATTCTGATTAAACTTTCAATCTCAGCCTCCCAATATTTGTCTTAAATCCTCTTCTCAATGCGGCTGTCTCCTTGGAAAGCAAACTTTAGATCCGTTTGTTTACTTTGAGGATTTTGCAATAACAGTGTCTGTCTCGACCTATACAACTTTTATTAAGCTTCGAGTAAGAATTTCAACCGAATTTTACAAATCTAAAAACCATCTGCACAGTAATAACGACAGCTCAAGGTATAATTAATCAAGTATATATTGTCTTCATTTCAAGTTTATGACTTGTCTAATGGGCCTATATGGTAATTTCTAAAGCAAAGTCTACAATCCTTAATTACTGTGCCAAAGTTTCTCATTAAGTTTGTGAAGTGGAGATTTGTTCACAATATCAAACTTTGTTGATTTTTGTTAATGACGCACTTCATTACATGTTGCAAAATTGATTTGACGCGAAGATGAAACACCAACATTTTTTCCAGCCAGATTCAATTTACTTCATACAAAAAGGCTGTAAGGCGGTTAGTATGCTTTAATAGAGAGTTTTAGATTGACGTTTACGGCAAACGTCAAACCGCTAACGAAGCTTTTGATTTTACAACTCTCAGCATTTGCAGTTTTGAAATATATATTCAAACAATTATTAAATTTGTGGTATGTAGCAATGATTCAAGAAAATAAATTAACCACTAGTCATGTATTCACCAAAGCAATAAATTAAGATTTAGCGTTTGAAGTTTACGATTGGCGTATAAATTTCATACTTTAACGACTACAAGCCCTCGTAGCAGTTCAAGCATAAAATTTATACGCCAAACATCAACTTCGAACGCCAGGTCTTAATTTACAGCTTTGATGAATGGCATGACTAGCGGTTAATTTGCTTTCTTAAATCATTGGCTAAAGAGCACAAGTTTAATAATTGTTTAATATATTTCAGAACTGGTGTAAAAGCTATAATAGAGTTGTAAAACCAACAACTTTGTTAGCGGTTTGACGTTTGCTCGCTGTTATTTTTCGGCGGGGAGCCGTACGTTTCTACTAGCATGCTTTCAAAACTTACATACACAAAATGACTATGTTATTATATTTTGTTTAGGGAACGCGCGCTCCTCCAAACCAAATACAATCGAATTCATACCAACTTATCCATGCAATTTTCTAACTATTAATTTTGAGATATTCTTTCCAATGAATGAGCTGCATTTTTGTGAGTTCATCACATTACTTTACGAGTTCGTTACTGCATTACTAACTATATTACTACATGATTAATTCTGGGACGATGAAACCATCCATGTTCACGGTAAATATTGAATAAATTATCCACCATACTGGATATTACCAATTGCCAGAAATGGCGACTCTTTACATAGTAGAAAAACTGAGACAGCACAGCCAAATAACTGACCATTCCAAATCTCAGTGAAAGAATCTTCTCTGGCGAATTTAATGCAACTAAATCTTCTGGAAAGAAAAAAAAACAAATTCACGGATATCTAAGGTTGTACTTGTACTTGTAAGTTTGTCAACATGAATCTGAGAAAACCCCATTATTTTATAAAGGTAAATACTTTAAATTTGAAGTTGACAAATTCGGTCGTGACTCGGGTAGAATTTTCATATTTACCTTCAATGCGGTTTTTTAATTCAAATCAACTTCAAATGAATCGGATAATCTCATTCCTTCGTCCTGTCAGGAGTACATTCAAGTATTAATTAAAGCCTGCTCAATATTGCAGGTGATTCGTAAAGGTTTTAATGTGTCCAGGACTAGTTTCGATCAAACGTATTAAAAAATATTTCTAACCTTATCTGTGCGCATGTCTTTCAATTTCTTCAAAAGATTCTTCCCCGGATTTCGTCCCTTTTTGAATTCCACTTTCTGTGAATAAGATTGGCAAGATCTTTCGTTAGAGAAATCAGGACATTTTCGGATCTATATTGGCAGAGGGTCTAGATGGGAGGGGGGGAGGGTGTCTTAAAATCAGTAAACGGTAAAATTTTTGGTATTTTAACGGTAAATCTTTGAAAAGTGTTCTGAAACAATGAACAGTATTTTTTTCCTCACGCTTCACGATAAAATTGTTAGTGTTTTCACGAAACTGAGTAAATTACGACTCACGATATAACCCATCAACACCCTCTTGGCATGGGGGTCAATGGAACAGCATACAATTTAACCGAGTATACGTATTTCCGAAGATATCACATTTTGAAGGATTTGTAAGAAATGTTTGAGGAAACCGACTCACTGTTAAACCCCAACCAGTTCCCTCTGGAACAGAAACATTTCTTACAAATCCTTTAAAAAACCAAAAATTTACCCATCCAAAATTCCTAGTGTGATCATAGATACTTTGATAGTTGATAATGAAAACCAGGTTTGACGTTGGTATATAATTATATAAAATATCAATAGGGCCATTTATACGGAACAAAATAAGACGCGACTTACATAAGACGCGACTTAGGTAAGACGCAAGTTTGTCGTATAAAAGGTACAAAATTCTTATGTAAGACGCGTCTTGGATAAGACGCGTCTTACATAAGAACAGGCCTTTTAGCTGTTCTTATCTAAGTCGCGTCTTAAATAAGAAATTTTGGACAAAAAGTTTAATTACACATGCCAGAAACTTGAAACAACTTAAAATTATTAGCCTTGCATATTAAAAAAAAAACAACCGAAACAACATTATAGCTATAGCAAGTAAATAAGAATAAAGCCCTAGAGAACCATTTATGCGATAACTCCGCTTATTTAAGTCGCGTCTTATGTAAGTCGCGTCTTATTTTGTCTCGTATAAATGGCCCTATTGTCTCACCTCTCCAAATTCTTCATCTTCGTCAGCCATACAGCTCTCGGCTGCGGGAAGTTCTTCGGCTTGATTCGATTCATTGACAGCAACGCGATGATACAATTTGTACTTCAGCCTAGAAGTGAAGAGGAGAAACTTGCAGCCCCAAAACCGCATTTTTTCAAGGAACATTTGGAAGTGCAAGAACAGCAGCAGGATGTGTTAATATATATATCAGAACAAATAACAGTATATAGGAGCCGATACTTACACTCGGTTTTTGTACCAAAGGAAGAAAAGAGTGGCAATAATGGCGGTCAACACAAACGCGACAATCCCAATCAATAACTGGAAATGATTTTAAAAAAATTAAAACGTTATAACTAAAGGCTTGTTCAGCATCGTCGAACATCGTCCGATTACCTGGATATAATCTGACGATTAGCGATTATATTACGTCAGCAAAAGCGATGGTGATGTCGACAAAGGGACACTTAGAAAAAAAACGCTCTGCGGGAAAGAATTATCCATAGTGGTGGAAATGGGCTAGTACTAGTAGTCAATTTGCTGGTTGATCTGAACTTACAATTCGTTAGATTCAGAATTTACAGTCGAATTAGCCATTCCGAAGTTGATGAGAGGACTGGGGATGAGTGTCAAAAAGTGCCCAAATTAAGAAATGAACCAAATAACTAAAAAGACCACCTCAGAATTAGTTAGTATACAAAGTTTGAAGACGTTTACATGAATACCCTTCCAATAATAAGCTTTTGAAAATTATGAAATTACTGATTGGGACGCGCGTCCCCAAAAACAAAAATTACAGTACATTTCATAGTAAATATCGGATTTTCGAAAGCTTATTATTCGAAGGATATTCATGTAAACGTGTTCAAACTTCGCATACTTACTAATTTTGAGGTGGTATTTTTAGTGATTTGGTTCATTTCTTAATTTGGGCATTTTTAACACTAGGCCCCAGTGGAGAAGGGAGTTTTACCTGAAACTGTTTGACAGCCTCGTGGACCGACATGTCGCTACAAGGAAGAGTCTTCATTTTTGGAATTGCCACGCCGCCCACGCATTTTCTAAATTTTAACGAGTAACAATGAGTAGTCAATAGACAGCCTTGAACCAACTTTTAATATAAGAAAAACTTCATTGAGATTGTAGAATCATTGATTTCTAAAAAGCATTGTCCATTTATATATAGAACACTCTATTTTCTTACTTTGGTGTTGACCTCCAGCTGTAGTGAATATGCTTTTTACTATTCTAAAAGAAATTACAAAATACGAAAATAAAATATATATTTATTTTCCAAGATTTCGACTGCCAGACTGCGGTCTTCAACGGGCGTTTAACAATGAGATAAATTATCTAATTAAGTTAGCAAACTCTAGGAACATACTCTAGGAACATGCTGTAGGAACATGCTCTAGGAACATGCTCTAGGAACATGCTCTAGGAACATGCTCTACGAACATGCTCTACGAACATACTCTAGGAACATACTCTAGGAACATGCTCTAGGAACATGCTCTAGGAACATGCTCTAGGAACATGCTCTAGGAACATACTCTAGGAACATGCTCTAGGAACATACTCTAGGAACATACTCTAGGGACACATACCATACATCCAGACTCCAGCTCGTGGTAATTGTCCTCAGTACATAACGGACAAGCGTACTTTGTGTGCCACAAAAACAAAAACCTTGAAGAATAAAATAGGTATAAATATGTACGTAAATCTCAACAGTTTAGATCTATGATTTGGTAAACTCGACGGTGCAATTTCAGGTGAAGATTCACGATTATGAAAACAACAACATAACTCCTACTTACTGACAGCCATCACAAGTTCCTTCATGGCATTCCGGGGGAAATTTAATTGTTCCCTGAGAAACGAAACACAGACGAATGATTTAATTGGGGAAATAAAGGATTGAAATATTCTGGTCTAGTTGTCCATAAAATTGAACGATTTAAATGCTGGTATAAAGAAGAAACAATTAACCCTTGTTCTCAATGTATTTGTGGTGAGGTACGATTGGGAAAACTAAGCCGAATCGGATTATTTTCAATCTGGGAATGATGATCATAGATTATATAAATTGGATAACAGAGATGCCCTTACTTTTCCACTGGTATCAGGATCGCATCGTAAAATAATCCACGCAGATCGACCATTTGGGCAAGATGGAGTCGTTCTACAATAGAAAAATAGAGTTGATAAAACTTCTACAAAATAAGTTCATGTAAAAGACGTTAGTTTATCACAATACAAAGTATAAAATCGGCAAATATAAATATTTTGAAGATCTAAGTCTTAACTATTTTATTTTATTTTATTTTTAATCACTGTGTACTTACGAATGAGATAAATAATCAAAGTACAGCAACGACTCATTCGACAATTTTTCATCTCTAAATACATCCAACGAAACATTCTCCGGCTTCTCTTCAAAAATACCCATCAACTGATGACCAATGCTGAAAATTACAAAACCAAGTTGTTAGAAGTCATTGCCGCATTTCTACACGTTCGAGAAAATTCGAGTACTTTTACGAAACGTTTTGTTCCAGCCAGAGACTGTTTACACAGGCTTACCCAGCTAAATTAGTCGACATGGCCGGACCGTTATTCTTGCTTGGTATAACACGCATCTGACAAATGCTTGCGTTCAAATATTGTACTCCCTAAAATAAAAGCTAAAATTAAACACCAATTGTTCTTGGAGAAAACATGATTTTAATAACGTTAACCGTTGTTTCACTGAAGTCATTTTATAAAACAATTACCAAATCATTTTCCGTACAAGAAAAATATAGAGTAACGATCTTTCTCAACGGCCAGTTTATAATAGTTTATACCTGTAAACCACATATAAATCATAAGTATTCTCTAGTTATAATCACTCCGCGTATTTTCAGTTCTAAAATGTTGTATTTCGGCTGATGAGAAATATCTTGACTCAATCTTTACGACCGTTATACGACCATATTTCTAGAAACCAGGCTTTGGTACTCACACAGGGGTTTGGAAGACGAAGGCAAAGAACATCACATCAGATCGGGCGAAACAATTCTGCTAGCCCTATGTCTATTGTTGTATGTATAATATTATCAATTTGTTTACTTTTTCCTCACCTGTTTACCATGTAAAATTGTGGCATTACTATGGCAACTGGCTGGAGGTGCGTCAACACCGCATAGATTGATGTGATATTCGTAAATAAAGGCGGTGCCTTCTGTGAAGAATGACTTTTGAGTCTGAGCTGTATGGGCTCTATACAAAACAGATATTTGATTTAAAAATTTGGGGATCACACCTACTGATTATCGCACAAAAGTAAAGTCAACGGCTTGTTGACAACTTGCTACAAGGTCGCTGAGCTCAACAGACTTGTTATAAATTGTTCCAACAACTTGTTATCGTCCTGCAATTCAACAATTTGTCAACAAGTTGTGAGTGACAACCTAGCTTGTAGCAACTTGATGAACAGCATTGTTACAACTTGTTGACAACTCGCTACAAGGTTATTGAGCTCAACAGACTTGTTATAAGTTGTTTCAACTAAATGTTGTCGTCCTGCGATTCGACAACTTGTTAACAAGTTGTGAGTGACAACCTTGTAGCAACTTGACGAAATAACAACATTGTTACAACTTGTTGACAAGCTTGCTGCAAGCCTGTTACGAACACATCTTGTTGACAAGTCAGTTGTGAGATTTTTACGTGTATAGTTACAGTTCGTTTTCGGCAGGATTACAATAATACAATGGCTTACCCGGCTAAGCCTTTGAAATCAATATGGCGTCCGTGTTTTCCATGAAAGTGACAGCTGGAAAAACACTTCGTCGAGGCTACATTGCTATAAAAGAAGAAAACAATAATAGTTCTCCACAATTTTCAACGAATTGTGGATGTTTAAACCAAGTTTTCAAATGTTTTACGTTCTAGGCAAGAGTTCCAGAGGTTTTGAAGTTTTCAGAGGTAGTTAATTAAAGTAATGTAGATTGAATTGCAATTAATTACAACTTAGCGCTGGTGAAGAAATTTCTTTCATTGAGAAAGTAAATTTAATGTTCTCTACCTTGTTAATCCAGGACCACACTTTAAACATTTATTCTTGCTAAGATAAGTATCTATAAGCAAACATATCGTAAAAAGTAGTCAACATAACAACGAAGAATTTACATACTGACTATACCAGACCGTTGAAAAAGGCAGAACATTTTTTCTCATATAATCTGGTTTCTTCAGTGTTGCAGTTATACTGGACTATATCTACTGTAATAATATTACGGCCCTAATGCATGGTTTCATCATGTAGTAACACTGAAATAAGAAACTCTAAGTAGTTGTGTCCAACGAGAGATTTAGATGATACCTTTCGGACATGGTTCGCACTTCTTCTTCAGAGTATCGATGTAGTGGCCTTCAGGACATTCCACACAACTGTATAAAGAAAATGAAAAGATATTTTAGCAAGTCTACCAAAGCTAGCAAGTGAAAACTCGAGAAACAATGACGACAACAACGACAACGACGACGACGACGACTACAGCAACAGCAACAGCAACAGCGACAGCGACAACAACAACAACAACAAAAGCAACAGCAACAGCAACAGCAACAACGACAGCAACAACGACAACGACCAACAACGACAACAATTATTAACAGCAAACCAACAACCATAAACTTACCCTGATTCATGCATCCCTACAGGACACTCACGGCAAACGGCGGCACCGCCATCCAAAGTGTTGGAAAGATACACAGCATAAATTTTCACCCTACACCAGAGAATAATTATAAAACATGAAAGCTTATATTTGGCTCCATACAGAAATAACCGAATTCAAAAATGTCCAATATCATAATTCTTAATTATGTTTGGAGAATTATATACATGTAAGTCATCGCTGGGGAGCGAATGACTACTTTACAAAACAAAATAATCGGCTAATAATCTATTTTCTAAAATGCAAGATGCCTTCTACAGTAAAAGGATTAATGCTATCAATTTGTGCTACTCGGCCATAGTTTTATTCTACATATTGCAGTTCAATACAAACCTATCCTTAATGTATTTGAAAGTCTTTCCGTCAGGATCGTAAGCGGAATTTTTCGCCTTCTTGAACTGCCAACGGTAAGTCACAGGTCCCTTGTTAGTGACGGCATATCTGAAACAGATGAAAGGTTGGCACATCATGATATGGATTTTTATGCTTCCAAAAAGAATCGCGATGTGACGTCCTTTCTCTGATATTATGCCTGGTTGCATGAAGACACTAGACTGGAGTGTTGCAACGCTTGGTCATCAGTGAATGAAATTTGTTCAGGGATTCATTTATTTAAACCAGAGTAGCAAAACATGTCTGATATTAAACCTGGTTGCATGAAGACAATAGACTGGAGTGTTGAAACGTTGGATCGTGAATGTAATTTGTTCAGGGATTCATTTACTTAAACCGGAGAAGCGAAACATGTCTGATATGCATGAAAACACTGTCTAGTCAATAATACTAAGCATTTTATTCGCAAAATCGACATACTGTTCTCATGTGAAATTATGGTTTTTTAATACTTACGTGTAGTTCTGCCTGGGCTCTCTCCCATGCCATTGGTTGATTGACAATATGCCATTAACATCAGCGTGGCTTCTCTGTAATGTAAGAAAATGGAACAAGGTTTGATGCTAAATATGATGAACTTTACGTACGGTACCGTACGCAGAACTTTTTCACCAGCGGACAGTAATACCTATATGCTAAAATAAGTACTCGAATCAGTGGCGATGCCAGCCAGACAATTTGGTCATGCTATGCAAATGTTAAATCATTATCATTATTCATTTCTTTAGAAATTGATTGTTTTGACGGTGTATGAACACGGAAATATTTGCATAGTATGACCAAATTGTCGGGCTGGATTCGCCAATGATCCAAATGCCAATGTATTCAAAGTCACATATCAGTTCGATGCATGCTTATCGCTGTCCCATACAGAATCACACAGTCTGATTCACAAGAATATAAGCACCACTTGGCTTGATAATTTATAAAACCATTGAACAAGGCTGGGACAAGGTTAGGGTGTGGTCCTTACTTCATACATAGTGAAGACGCAAGGTCCATCGCAGTCCAGTTCGAAGTCAATTCTTACACTTCCCACTGCGCTGGCTGTTCTAGACACCAGGCCTCGTTCACCGGCAAAACCCACGGTCTTCACTTCAAAATACATAGTGACGTCATCAGAATGACCAAGACCGCTGTCCAAATAGTGACCTCGGAGTTGCCATCCAGTGGGAGTCGAACAGCCATTGACTAGAATGAAAAGTTTATCGCATGAAGTATGAAGACCTTCTCGATGTACACCTCAGTACAAACAAACAAGTTTTCCTTGACAAATTTTATTCGCTCGTGTACACGGCAAAAATACTGACAATTTTTTCCAAAGCTAGCCATGCTAACTTTTGGAGAATAATGGACCATTTGCATTATAGACTAAATTTTGATCTTAACAAGTCTAGACAAACATTTCATCACAGCTTGAAAGAGCATCACAAAATTAGTAATATTCCAAAGTTTCGTTGCGAAATGTTGTAAAATGCGGATAATATAACCTTGCGAAGTTTGCCGTTTTTCAGTCATTTTGCATTACGCGGGGGAAATTGACAGCCCAATACCCATGGGGCTGTCAATTTCCTGTTTGTAATAGAAAATGACTGAAAAACGGCAAACTTCGCAAGGCTATTTTATCCGCATTTTACAACATTTCGCAAAGAAACTTCGGAATATTACTGAAATTTTTGGCTAGACTTGTTTTGATCAAAATGTAGTCTATAATGCAAATGGTCCATTATTGTCCAAAAGTTAGCATGATAAATGGATTTCCTAATCTGTACGGGGCGTAAAAGACGCTTCATTTATGAATGTTCCTCATACCGTAACTTGAACACCAATGCTCCGTGGTTGAAGGCCAGCTTTTCCATGAACGGTAATCGTGGTTCAATACTGGAGCAGTGAAAGGCAGGCAGTTTGTGCAAGCTATGAATACAAACATAATAAATATCAGTTGACGGTATTCAGATATAATCAGTTGTTCCGATGAACACAAAGTTCTCAAACGCTGGTTAAAATAAGTAGCAGTTGGCAAGCGAGAGTTTCTACGAGAGCTTTTGCACATAGAAAATGCTGTGCTGAGTATATTACTACCTTAAAAAAACAAGCAGAAACTCAAGGTAGTTTTAAGGTAGTAATATAACCACTCGGCACAGCATTTTCACATTGGTACTATACCTACACTGGTACAGACAGTTTTAGTATTTTGCACATAGAGTTGACGTCTTTCATAGAGTTGACGAGAGTTTATTGGATATTTTCCAAGCGAATCAAAAACTTTTATCAACTTTCATTAAAATTGGACCAGCTTAAAATTGATGAGAGTTGATGAAAGTCATTGATTTTCATCAACCCTCACCGCCTTTGGCCATTGTTTAGATCTCAGAGGGTGCTTAGACGAGCAATTTCTGCTGTTATTAAGCATCATTTCGACCGATTAGTTTCTGCATTCAATTGAGAAATTATGTCTTGCCATGCAGACTAGGGGTCAGCCAGGGGCGTCGTGGTATCCTAAAAACCTGATAAATATGGATCAAAATACCTATTATTACGGTCAGAATTTGTTCAAAATACCTAAAACAAGCAGAAGCTGTATACCTAATACCCAAAATTAGTCATAACATTTACGTGAATATACAGTATACTCGAATTAAATACCCATTAGATCCTATATACCCAAAACCCCATGGCCGACCCTACAGACTAGAATGCCAAATAAGCTTCAAAATAACAACACTTACGTTTCTTTCCATCACTGAAAGTTCCCTTACGACAGAAGAGACATTTAGTGTCATTGAGGTACATCCCAGGGTTACATGGGGGACATTCTTCTTTCGGTCCTGGCTCGGGTAACTTCACTGCTCCTTCAATGACGTCACTGCAAATTTTCGGTTTAATCCACTTGTATACTGTTTGAAACTAAATAAAGATAATGATTCTGAAAAATGCTTTCATTGGCTCGATTTGTAAAGAGACGAATGATCCCTCTGAGCAGATTTGGGGGAAGAAAATATAAGTTATCTGTTGATACATTTGTGTGCAAACGAGTCGCATAAATTAGTGTTCGCAACAGGCTTGTAGCAAGCTTGTCAACAAGTTGTAACGATGCTGTTATTTTATCAAGTTGCTACAAGGTTGTCACTCACAACTTGTTGACAAATTGTTGAATTGCAGGACGATAACAAGTTGTTGGGACAGCATTGCTACAAGTCTGCTGCAGATTTGCTACAAGTCATAAAGTCGACGAAATTCAATAATTTATCTATAGAGATCAGGTTGTATCGAAGAATAGACGTATTAAATACTTTACTTTGTTGTCCTTGTCACATGCTGAAGAGGTTTCGATGTAGTCGGTTTCTTTGCAAGCAGGTCGTTTGAGACACGCAGCGCTTCCTCGAGCTAGATAAAATATTTTAGATTACACATCATATACTGTAATTGTAAATCAAGAATTGTGTAAATCACTGGCACAGACACTGGTATCTTATCAATTTATTGTTGTAACTTACGAGCATATTCGGTTTTTTCGTTGCAAGAGGTGCATTTCTCTGCACCAGCATCTGAAACTAGATTTTCTGGGCACGGTTCACACCTGAAAAATAATCATTTAAAAGAAAATATTTCTTAATACAACCATAGCCTATCGAAGGGAAAATGGCTGTGAAACTCATTAGAATAACAATATAACTCATTATCTATGTTGGTCAACGTTTATTCATAAGTCTGGTCCTTCACCGTCACTTGTGTATTGTATTTTTACCCAACTAACCAATAGCAATGTTTTAGGAAAGTCACCTATCCGTGACTCGAACAAAAGGGGAAACTGGAAATTGTTATTGGTGGATTTGGCCGAATACAATACACACGTGACGGTGAAAGGACCAGATTTATGAATAAACGTTGACTAACATAGATAATGAGTTATATTGTTATTCTAATGAGTTTCACAGCCATCTCCCCTTCGATAGGCCATGACATGATACAACACAGTTTCATTTGAGTGATCTCGGCTAGATTCAACCAAGCACAGCAATGCCGCTTCTCTATGTTACTTTCGCCAGACGGTTTAATTTTGCTTTGCAAGAAGAAATTAAGTGTCGGGGGTTCGTGGAACAGGTTCAGGTGAAGGTGTTAGGAGGATGGGTTATGATAGTATAAGTGACATGGCCAGGGTTTTGATTTTAGGGCGAGAAGCAAGAACTGTTCTGGAGTTCATTGGAGTGGGGCGCAGATCTTCCCATGCCCCAAATTGACCACCCCCATTGATTTGCGAAAATGATACTGCTGAGCACATATCGCTGAAATCACAAAGTGTTGTTTGTGATACATGGTGATATAAGCTTATTTTAATATAGTTGATTAAAAATTAAAAAGGAATCGCTATAAAAATTGAAGGTTTGTTTTGTACCAGGCAGATCCTTCCTTAGATGCAAAAGTGCCAGCAGGACAGTCCACGCATTCTGACGACGTGCTAGTTCCTGAATCAAATAAGAAAAATTAGGATGATAAATGTCTCGGAAAGAAATTCTATATATCGGTATTGCAACACTCAAAAACTCAAGTGAAATAAAGCACAGTGACTCACTGTCGAGTCTGTCGGTACATTATTTTACTCAAGTATTTCACTTAAAATACTCAGGGACATTTTGCAGTGAACATACTGGTTAATTTTATCATTTGTATCATAATCATCCACCATTTGCCTAAGAAGATGGTTGGATAATTAAAATCTGTACCCACCTTTTACTTCTATATCTCGAATGAAAACCATGTTTGAAAATTTTGTTCCTCTTTCAAATCCCCAATGTTCGACCTCCCAAACGACTAAATTCTTACCACGGTTCAATTTAAGCTAAAGAAATAAAATGTTCCTATTGGATATGCCTGACACTGCAAAGTGTAAAACGTCGTGTACAGACGAGAAAGTTTTCTTTGACAAGTTTCTTTGAACGAAAAAAGTATTTCTTGAATGAACGCCCTCTTTTGCTGGAAAGAAAGTGCCCTCTTTGCAGTAGTAAATACTCTGTAAAGGCCATTTCCGGCATTATAGAGACTGCATAAACGACATAAAATCGTTTGATTTTGATCATATACAAAGGTGCCCCTTTGGGCCAATGCCCCTCCACTTTCGAAATGCTTCCGCGGCCTCTGTCCACAAGTTTTCCTTGATAAGTTTACCATCTTGTGTGTACGGTCAACAAGTTTTTTTTGACAAGTTTACCTTCTCGTGTTTACGGTCAATAAGTTTTCCTTGACAAGTTTCCCGTGACAAGTTTGCCTTCTCGTGTGCACGGCAAGATTTTCTTGACTAGATTTTTGTTCTCATGTGCACAGATTGTTGTTAAATATTTATCTCACAATACTCACATCACTAGGTTGCCTCTTCAAGAGGTCTAGTCTTGCTAGCCAAAACACTAAAGGTATTTCTTTCAATTGTGAGCTTTTTTCCTGGCGGCCCGTATGCAGAGGAGCAGCGAAATTTGTTATTTTTGTGGTTATATTATATTTTTTGTCCTGCTTAACATTTGCGATGTTCGTTCATCACTAAGATATCTTGAGTTCAAATCAACTCTATGTACTGTATACTCTATATACCGGGTTAGGGTTAGGGAAAGAATCCAAAGCTAATATCGTAATAACGAAATACACAACTCAAAGTTTGATTGTCGATCGAACACTTTAGATTTAGGATTTGACATAAAACTTTCCGGCTGGGCACGTAATTTTCAAAACAGATATCGTTCCTGTACTTACTGTGAAATTCTTCCACTTGTAATCAGATGATGGTTCAGGACTGTTGTACATCTCGCCAAAATTATCATCATCATCATCATCATCGTTATCATCATCGTCATCATCGTTTTCATCTTCATCATCGTCTCCACGTTGTCTTGCAATTTGACATTGCTCATTTTTTACCTAAATTGAAGAAAACATAATTTCTGACCTTGAACACCATCTATCTTCTGCAATATATGTAGCTACACTCTAAAGACATCCTTGGTTAGTTAATCTAAAATTAACACTTTGTTGTGATCATATAGGCTACTTTGACAATGCAGGATTCCAGGTTGATTTAAAAAAACTTCGTACTGTATATGGTTGAATTAACCAGATTATGATAGGCGGACTATTAACCGAGAATTCCTGGTTAGATTAGGCCAAGACTATGATCAACTTAGCCGGGACTGTAGTTCAATTAACCAAGAAATTTAACCTGGAACTTTAAGTTATCCGAAACAGTGTTAATTTTAGATAAACCAAGACATTTTTACACGATGTTTTTCAAAGAGTGTTGTACCACATCAACCAGTGAATAGTTCAGGCTATGAATATACTTACAAAAACTTCAAAATATAAATTTTCGTTTGCATTTGTGTAATAATACCAAAACGTGATGGAACCCTCATCTTTGATGATCTAAAACGACAATAATTTTAACGATTGGATGTTCAGTGTATTCAGTTTTGGATGATTTCAAAACTATGCGAGTCGGAATAGCTAGTACTTACATTGGTAGTGTAAGTAAGGCGAGTCACACAAGCTGTTCCTTGTGTTCGCACGAATTTTCCATCCGCTATCCACGTGGAACTGTAAACGAAATTTTAGATATTCATGTGAGTAATTGTCGACATATTCTTTTAAAGCAGTTCTTGAACAGTAAGTTACTATAAACACCTATGTCGACAGGGGCGTAGGAAGCGGGGGGGCACGGGGGGCACGTGCCCCCCAAATTTTTTTAAAGGACTAAAAGTGCCCTTTTTTGTGATAAAAAGTGCCCTTTTTGTGTTGAAAAGTGCCCTTTTTTGTGAGGAAAAGTGCCCCTTTTGTAGAAGCTAATGTCGCTGTAAATACTAAATTAAAACAATAGGTGCCGTTTTTGTGTGGAAATTTACAAATTTTTTTTAAAAATTAGGTCACAAACATAAATTTCGGTATGATACGACGGAAAATTTTCCTCAGGAGAAATTTCTCTCCCCCCCCCCGTCGACAACATTTCCGGGAAAAATTTTTTAGGTGCCCTTTCCGATAGTAATGTGCCCCTACAAGCCGGTGCCCCCCCAAACTCCAGGTGCTTCCTACGCCCCTGTATGTCGATCAAGTGACTGTTAACATTGCTTGTGATAATTTTAAAAAATTCATACATAATCATATTACAGATGCTGTAATTTTGTAAATGTTCTTTCAAGTGAGCTTCGTTATTTTTTAATATTACAAAAACGAATTATTTCGTGTTATTTCGCTGTATTTGCGTATACAGTATAACGTTTTACATAAATATTTTTTCGACGACTTAAAAAATTCATTCGGCGACTTAAAAATTGCTTTTTGTGGTAGTAACTTTTCTTCAAACCTCATCCTAAAACACGTGAAAGAGCGTTCTAATGAATCTAGAGGGCGCGCACTAGAAATGGCATATAAATTTTGCCCCCCCCCTCCCCCAAGTATAGACTCTGGCTATGTCACTGAATAATTGGTGGTCCCAGGCGTGTCCTCAACAGCGTTGTCATTCTGAATACAACTTGTTAAGCTAAGCATTATCACGTCTTAATTTTCAGCAACGTGAAAGCTTATTGCGACGTTAGATGTGCTACATAAAGTCAACCTTAAATCAACATCACATCGTCTCTCCTGTAGCTATTCGTAACGTTATTTTAAAAAGCTTCAAGCAATCATTACAGCCGAGTAATCAAAGCACTGAAATTGTGACGCGTCGTCGAGTTAATGTTTGCCGCATCGACGCATCGTAGATCTAAAACCTTTATTAACATACTTGCAGCCAGAGTCCTTATCGCTGCTCTGCATTAGTTCATCATAATTTTTCACGGAATATGTATCAAACTCTGGCGGTAGGACGGTCCAGTTGCTATAGTGTACAGCTCCACCTAGGCTGTGTTTGCCCGTAGGACATGGTTTACATGTTTCTGTTAACAACGAAACATCAGAATACTGTCCTCCGGGACAACTTGAATCTAAAGAAAAGAAATCGATGTTTCATTAATGTGCATACTGTCTCATTGTGGAATAGAATAGGAAAAGTTATCAAGCCTTCATTTCCCAATGGTAAATACTTTCCCGTCAAGATATTAATGTTGAGATATTACACGCGTAAAAACGCACAAGTTGTTCCACGGGTCTGCAAACAAGTTGTTGCAAATCTGTTCACAAGCTGTCGACAAGTTGTGTTCGCACTGCTTGTTCCCAGTTGTTGCAACAAGTTTGGAACAAGCTGTTAACAACTTGTAACAAGCTTGATGACATTATCAGAAGACTTGTTGCAAGGTTGTTCTAACAAGTCTGATACAGTCAAGATATAACAGGAATGTTACAAGGTTGACGACACGAGGTTGTAACAATATTGTTATATCATGACTGTATCGGACTTGTTGGAACAACCTTGCAACAAGTCTGACAATATCAACAAGCTTGTTACAAGTTGTTAACAGCTTGTTCCAAACTTGTTGACAACTTGGGACAAGCAGTGCGAACACAACTTGTTGACGGCTTGTTGGCAGACTTGCAAGATGCGAGATACAAGATGCGAGATTTATTCATCATTAAAATGTAAATTTCCAGGCAGTATAGCGATAAGTTTTTGACGTATCATAAAGAATGAAACGCCAGAATTCAATGTACTCGTATCTTTTTAAGATTGACTTTGTATTTCCTCGCGGAGTCTTTATAGGAGTTTGTTCCACCTATTTGCCTTAAATTCGTCTATCAATGAACTCATGACAATGTCTGGCAAATCCAATCAACCTCTCGCAAATGTTTGACCGCCCCCCTCCCCTCCCCTCCCCCCACCTTACTTCGCCCCTACGCCCTATGGATAGAGCCAAATCTGAAGACGTCTTTTCACATGGGACTGAGTTGAAATTATAACGAAACAACTACATATAGTGTAGGAATAGTTCTCAAAGATGAAAAATATGTAGATGCACTAAGTCGGCACCATATTTTCAGCAAGATCAATGCACTTACCACAGGATTTCTGGTGTAATGGTGGTTTGGCCTTAATGGTACAATGAGTTGCATCGTGAGGAACTGGAACATGCCATCTACCACCATCAGAGCCACACTCTGTGTATTCGTAATGATATTCTCCCTATAATAATGCACGTTAAGATTCATCACCTCCAGGCATTTTTAATCCCAGGGACTGGTGGGTAATTTTCCCCACTGGGCCCCTTCCTCTGCCCCACCATTGAAGAAAAAAATGGCCTATTGTCCCAAAGTCAGGGCCCTAGTTGTTCGAGTAAATGAGTTTAACATTGAAAAGAACAAAATATGTTGGTGAGCATACTTAAATTTATGTTGTGTTTGAACGTTTAGCGTGCAATTATTACAAATTTCACCATTAAAACTTTGTTTTGAGAAGCTGAGATTTTTTTAAAATGCGTTCTAAGAATGCAGGAAAAGATATTTCAGAGACCCAAATTTTAAAAATTTCCTGCGGAGGGGCCATGCCCATAGATCTCCCTAGCGAACTTGTGCCTGTGGCACTCGCCTCACACCTTCGACAATCGCATACTATCCTAGGGGGTCTAGGGGGGGGGGCAAGGAAAATGTGCTCTTTGGCAGTTTTGCGCCACCACCGAAGAATCCTTAAAAAATGCACTGTATCACCTAAAGTCCAACACGCGTAAAAATTTCACAGCTTGTCAACAAGATGTGTTCGCACTGCTTGTTCCCAGTTGTTGACAAGTCTGGGACAAGTTGTTATCATCTTGTAACAAGGTAGATGAGGCAAACAGACTCGCATGCAAAAAGTTGTTCCAACAAGTCTGATATCGTCTGCACGTAATAAGTTGATGACAGCAAGCTCAAAGCAACTTGTTACGAACACCTGTATTAGTCTTGTTGAAACAACTTGCAGCAAGTCCGTTACACTCATCACTTGTAACATGATCATAACAACTTGCCCCAGATTTGCCACAACAACTGGGAAAAAGTATCGCGAATACATATTGATATCGGCTTTACAACAACCTTCTTATAACTTGTTTGCAGACTTGTAACAACTTGCGCGTTTATACCTGTGTACCCCAAGCAGCAAAGGAATTGGTTTTTGGAATACACAAGTAAAAACGCACAAGTTGTTACAAATCTGTTCACAAGCTGTCAACAACTTGTGTTCGCACTGCTTGTTCCCAAATGTTGCAACAAGTTTGGAACAAGCTGTTAACAATTAGTAACAAGCTTGATGGCACTATCAGACTTGTTACAAGATTGTCGTAACAAGTCTGATATAGTCATGATAAACAAGAATGTAACAAGGTTGACGATCGACACAAGATTGTAACAATATTGTTATATCATGAATGTATCGGACTTGTTGGAACAACCTTGCTATAAGTCTGATAATATCAACAAGCTTGTTACAAGCTGTTGACAACTTGTATACAATATTGTTATATCAAGACTGTATCGGACTTGTTCGTACAACCTTGCCACAAGTCTGATAATATCAAAAATCTTTTACAAGCTAGCTGTTTAATCAACTTGTACAATATTGTTATATCATGACTGTATCGTACTTGTTGGAACAACTTTGTTACAAGTCGTATAATATCAACAAGCTTGTTACAAGTTGTTAACAACTAGTATACAATATTGCTATATCATGACTATATCAGACTTGTTGGAACAACCTTGTTATAAGTCTGATAATATCAACAAGCTTGTTACAAGCTGTTGACAAGTTGTATACAATATTGTTATATCATGACTGTATCAGACTTGTTGGAACAACCTTGCTACAAGTCTGACAATATCAACAAACTTGTTACAAGCTATTAACAAGTTGGATACAATATTGTTATATCATGACTGTATCAGACTTGTTGGAACAACCTTGTTACAAGTCTGATAATATCAACAAACTTGTTACAAGCTGTTAACAAGTTGGATACAATATTGTTATATCATGACTGTATCGGACTTGTTGGAACAACCTTGCTACAAGTCTGATAATATCAACAAGTTTGTTACAAGCTGTTCACAACTTGTATACAATATTGTTATATCAAGACTGTATCAGACTTGTCCGTACAACCTTGCCACAAGTCTGATAATATCAAAAAGCTTTTACAAGCTAGCTGTTTAATCAACTTGTACAATATTGTTATATCATGACTGTATCGTACTTGTTGGAACAACTTTGTTACAAGTCGTATAATATCAACAAGCTTGTTACAAGTTGTTAACAACTAGTATACAATACTGTTATATCATGACTATATCAGACTTGTTGGAACAACCTTGCTATAAGTCTGATAATATCAACAAGCTTGTTACAAGCTGTTGACAAGTTGTATACAATATTGTTATATCATGACTGTATCAGACTTGTTGGGACAACCTTGCTACAAGTCTGATAATATCAACAAATTTGTTACAAGCTGTTAACAAGTTGGATACAATATTGTTATATCATGACTGTATCGGACTTGTTGGAACAACCTTGCTACAAGTCTGATAATATCAACAAGCTTGTTACAAGTTGTTAACAACTTGTACAACATTGTTATGTCATGACTGTAACAGACTTGTTAGAACAACCTTGCTACAAGTCTGATAATATCAAAAAGCTTTTACAAGCTGTTAACAATTTGTACAAAATATTGTTATATCATGACTGTATCGGACTTGATGGAACAACCTTGCTACAAGTCTGATAATATCAACAAGCTTGTTACAAGCTGTTAACAAGTTGGATACAATATTGTTATATCATGACTGTAACAGACTTGTTAGAACAACCTTAGTACAAGTCTGATAATATCAACAAGCTTGTTACAAGCTGTTGACAAGTTGTATACAATATTGTTATATCATGACTGTATCAGACTTGTTGGGACAACCTTGCTACAAGTCCGATAATATCAACAAACTTGTTACAAGCTGTTAACAAGTTGGATACAATATTGTTATATCATGACTGTATCGGACTTGTTGGAACAACCTTGATACAAGTCTGATAATATCAACAAGCTTGTTACTAGCTGTTTTAATAACTTGTACAATATTGTTATATCACGACTGTATCAGACTTGTTGGAACAACCTTGCTACAAAACTGATAATATCAACAAGCTTGTTACAAGCTGTTGACAAGTTGTATACAATATTGTTATATCCTGGCTGCATCAAACTTGTTAGAACAACCTTGCTACAAGTCTGATAATATTAACCAGCTTGTTAAAAGCTGTTAACAACTTGGATACAATATTGTTATATCTTGACTGTATCAGACTTGTTGGGACAACCGTGCTACAAGTCTGATAACATCAACGAGCTTGTTACAAGCTGTTGACAAGTTGTATACAATATTGTTATATCATGACTGTATCAGACTTGTTAGAACAACCTTGCTACAAGTCTGATAATATCCACAAGCTTGTTGCAAGCTGTTAACAACTTGTATACAATATTGTTATATCATGACTGTGTCGGACTTGTTAAAACAACCTTGCTAGAAGTCTGATAATATCAACAAGCTTGTTGCAAGCTGTTAACAACTTGTATACAATATTGTTATATCATGACTGTGTCGGACTTGTTAGAACAACCTTGCTACAAGTCTGATAATATCAACAAGCTTGTTGCAAGCTGTTAACAACTTGTATACAATATTGTTATATCATGACTGTGTCGGACTTGTTGGAACAACCTTGCTACAAGTTTGATAATATCTACAAGCTTGTTACAAGCTGTTTAATCAACTTGTACAATAGTGTTATATCATGACTGTATCGGACTTGTTGGAACAACCTTGATACAAGG